TACTTGCCTACAAAGGAGTTCCCATAAGACTATCAGCTGATTTCTCAAAAGAAACCTTGCAGACTAGAAAGGACTGGCAAGAAATATTCAAAGTCATGAAAAGCAAGGGCCTACAACCAAGATTAATCTATCTAGCAAAGCTGTCATTTACAATGGAAAGGCAGATAGAAAGCTTCCCAGACAAAGTAAAACTAAAGGAGTTCATCATCACCAAACCATTATTATACAAAATGTTAAAGGGAATTGCATAAGAAAAAGAAGAAAATCAAAACTATAAACATCAAAATGGCAATAAATTCACAACTATCAACAATTGAATATAAGAAACAAACCAAGCAAACCAGCAGAACAGGAACAGAGAATCATAGATAATGGAGATCATTTTGGAGGGTTATCAGTTGGGAGGGGGAAGGGGAAGAATGGGGGAAAAGGTGCAGGATTAAAAAGTGCAAATTGGTAGGTACAAAATAGACAGGGGGATGTTAAGAACAATATAGGAAATGGGGTAGCCAAAGAACATATATACATGACCCATGGCCATGAACCAAGGGGGTGATTGCTGGACGGAACCAGGTGGAGGGGGGCAGAAGGGGAACAAGTGTAATAGCATAATCAACAAAATATATATTTTTTAAAGTGCTCTACCATGGAGTGGAGACTCAACTGTAACCTCTGACTCTCTACTAACTTGTGATGTGAACTTGGGTAAGTCCTTTCCCCTAGTTTCTTAACTTCCCCATTTTTGTAAAATTAGAGGTGCCTTCCATATAATCTCCTTCACTTTACACACAGGGAACTCTAGTCCAGAGAGCAGTGGGGGTGGGGGTGACTTGATCAAGGTCACCCGACAGTTATCAATAGTTAAATTCAATTTAGCACACATTTATTGAGTGTCGGGCTAAGTGCTTTGAATACTTAAATAAGTAAGTGCTGCAGAGTCCCTCCTCCCAGACCTTTAAACAGAGTTGTGTTAAGCAGCCCTGGCTTGTGTATCCTCATTCAACCAATGAGGAAATCCTTTTGCCTCTACCTTCAAAATAAATTCAGGCTCTGACACTTCCCACCACCTCTTCTGCTGTCACTTTGGTCTAAGTCTACACTTTGGTCTCTTGTGTGGATTACTATAACAGCCTCCTGACTGGTTTCTGTATTTCAATACTGCAGTTAAAATATAAATTGGAAATACCATGTCCCTGCTTAAAATTCTTCAATGGCTTCCCATCTCACTCAGAGTCCAAGCAAATGTCTTTACAATGGCTTATAAGATCCCACAGTGTCTGCTTCCCATCCTGTTAACCTCTCTGAGGTCATCTCTTGCTACTCTTCCTCTCACTGACTTCACTCCATCTACACTGACCCCTTTGCTGTTTTCCAAACGCATCATACATGCTCTTGCTTCACAGTCTTTGTACTTGCTATTTCCTCTACCTGGAATGTTGCTCTTCTTCCAGTTTTCCCCATTGTTTGCCCTCTTCTGGTCTGTACTCAAATGAAACTTTCTCAGTAAGTCTTCCTGATCACTTGAATTAAAGTTGTAATCCCTCCACCAACACATTCTGCACCCCTCTCCCCTACTTACCACCTACTGGACTATATGTTTCATACAATAAATTTTAGTTATTATCCCCCCCACTAGAATATAAGTTCAAGAATTTTTTTTCTTTTTTGTCTGTTATTAAAACGTATTCCTGGACCTTAAAATAGTGTCTTGTACATAGTAGGTTCTCAACAGTTTGTTGAATGAACAAAACATTAATGATTATTCTAAATGCTCATAAAAAGCCTCTTTGAGCTTATGATGAAAAGGGAATTATGGGGCATCCGGACGTGAGTCCTCTACCCTTCGGGTGCTCCGCTGACAACTGTGTGTGCATTTGTGCCTGTGGGCCCACTTATGTAGATGGACCACCTGGGAATAGCTGTGCTCTTTCAGAAACACCAAAAATTCATAGTGAACTGAAAATAAAATGACAAAGTATACTACTGTGGGCCAAAATCAACAAAATCTCATATCAGACTCTAGCATAGCCTAATAATAAAAGTCACCAGAAAGTTTCAGAAAAAATGACTATTTACTGAGTTAGTGTGCACCAGGGGGACACAAAGATGATTCAGATACAACTCTGCCTGGCTCCAAGGAGCTTGCAGTCTGGTGGCCATACTACACCATATTGTTATTAGCCCACTAACAGGAAAATGTACTAGGTACAAAGATGACACAGAGGAGGGAGTGATTAAGTGTAGTAGCAGAGGTGGGTGATATCTGAGATGGCTCCTAAAGCATGAATAGAGGAGGAGGAGGAGGAGGGAAGAGAAATTTACAACTGAGAAACATTTCACCACTAACTTTTTCCCCTCTGCTTAGTAGAAATGCCTGCCTATCTGGATTTTAACAGAAAATAGCTCAGCCAAGCCTGCAAAACTCAGAGAGCTTTGTGTGGAGAATTTGAGAACTCCTGGTTATTGGGACATGAAAGGAAAGGCTGAATAAAGGGGACAGATGGCAGGAAGGGAGACCCACAGCTTCACAGGGGGCAAAGCAGAGAAGATGGGACCATTTAATACCATAGGCCCATCAAAGGGTCAAGACTCCAGCAGAGAAGGGGAAAGGAGTAGAAAGGGCAGAGACACTTTATTCCTGCCTTGGCTGTTGCCTGGAGCACGCTTTCTCCTGTTTTCCATCTCTCCTGATAATGTCTGCTCCTGAGGAAAGAGGCCACCTTGACAGTGTAAAAAGTTCCCATGTTCTGACTCTAAAGGCCTGGGTTTGAGCCTTATTAACTGTATGATCTTATGCTCAGTTTCAAAACCTTTGCTCACCACAAACTAGAGAGTAAACTCCAAGCTCCTTGGCTCGTCACTCAAGACCCTTTTCCATCTGGACCCTGATGAGCCCTCCAACCACATTGGTCCCATACCCCTTCTTACCCCAAACGACCAAGCACTTCTCTGGAACTCTGCGCTTTCACAGACACTGCTCCCTCAGGCTGATGTCTTCGCCCCGCCCCATTCCCAGTCCCAAACTGGAAGATTCTCATTCCTCTTTTAAGACATAACTCTGGGCTATCCCCTCCAGGAGGCTTTTCCTTCTGCTAGGTTAACAACTACCTCTGGGCCTCAGATTCCCCAGATCTTCCTCTGTCCCACCATCTGGAGCACATCTGCTCTTGCCCCTTCCTACCTACTCACTACAGAACAGCCAGAGGGATCTTTCTATAACACAGAGCTCACTTCTACTCCCCCACTTTAAAAAAAAAAAAAAAAGAAAGAAAAAAAGAATCTTCATTTCTTAGCTTAAAGACCATAATCTTTACTGTGGCCTAACAGATTCTGTATGACCTCGGCCCTCGCCTGCTCTATGTCTTCTCTTCGAAGCCTCTGCTGTCTCTGCTTGAGCCAAATTCCAGCCTTGTTTCTCAATGCTCAGTGCTTCTCTTTCCTCAGGACCTTTGTACTTGCTTCCTTGTTTCAACCTGGCTAATTTCTACCCTTTGGAGCTCAGCTCAAACCTTCCTTCCTTCTTCACAGGGCCAGGAGAAGCCTCCCTGTGCCCTGCCCTACCCCCCACCCCCAAGGCTAGTTTAGGTGGTACTTACCACAATAGTAATTTTAGAGCTATTTATGAATTATTTAATACCATTGTCCCCTGAGTAGGAACCACCCTGTCTTGTTCATTACTGCATAAGAGGCATGTACAGCAGAACCTGGCCTGGAACAGGTGCTCAAGCAATATTTGTTGAATGGCTGTAGTTTATCTGGCTTTTTTCATGGCAGCCTGCCAGCTCCTGGAGGTCTAGTAACATGTCAGCATCCAGTGTCAGGCCTGGCATTTAGTGGTGCTCAGTAGGGATTTTCTGAGTGCGGGAGTCACTATGATGTTCTGCCCAGATCCTCCATCAGTGAAAATTTAGGACACCAGTGACATCAGTGGAAAGCCATTAACTGTCAGCCCCTCCAGGGACGGGGCTGCCTTGGTTTCTGTGACACCTCTTCCCAGATGGACCCTCATTCAATGACTGAGGAAGTCAGGGATGTAAGAGACTGGCCAATTTAGTTTATCTGGGGACAACTCTGATGAGCCATTCTAGCTTGAGTACTGGTGGAGCTGCCACACTGTCCTTGGGTCTGCATTGGTGCTCCGGACTTCTTCCCAGTCCTGTTCCTGCCTCCCCTTCCATGGATGTTGATCCCCAGGGTGTTTCCTCATGAACATCCTGCACCGCAGTCCCATCTCATATTCTGCCCAGGAACCCAAAGGCAACAGGCCCACCACCTTTTCTTCCCCTTCCCCATGCCATACCTTTCAGGAACCATTCATTCATTCACCTCAAGTTTGTAGGGACCATTCAGCTGACAAAGTGTTTCACATCCGCATTTCTTTCTTTTTTTTTTTTTTATTTATCTTTAGAGGGGAAGTGAAGGAGAGAGGGATAGAAACATCAATGTATGGTTGCCTTTTGTGCGTCCCCTGCTGGGAACCGGCCTGCAACCCCAGTATGTGCCCTGACTGGGAATCGAACCGCGATTGTCTGGTTCGCAGGCCCGCGCTCAATCCACTGAGCTACGCCAGCCAGGGCCACATCCGCATTTCTATTAGTCCCATTCTGTACTGTTTACCTGTAGCAAGAAGGAAGGCTAGCCTCACCGAACAGATGGAGAAACTGAGGCTGAGAAAGGTGATGTGACAAGCCTAAGGCCACTGTGCTAATTTACAAGCTAGATCTCAAATCCAGATTTTTGCCTCCTTTCCTCACCTAGTCACTGCATCCCAGAACAAGGCAGTGAGAGAGCCTCGCTGAACTAAATTCTCAATGGTCTTAATGGTCAGAATCCTGGAATCATGGCTTTGTGGTCTAGGAAGGCGCAGCGCTAGGCCCAACGCTCGAGTAGTAACGATGAAGAAACTGAGGTCCAGAGTCTGACTCTCCACCGCTGGCTCGCGGAGGAGCACGAGCAGGGGGCGCGTCCTGCCTAGAGGGCCGGGTGGCGCCAGAGCCGCCTCCTTCCGCCCCCCAGGCTGGGTTACCCCCCCTCTCCCACCCTTGTCCTTGCCCTCGCAACCCAGCCACCTCAGAAGAGAGTCATGGTGGCTGCTCTGGTAGCAGCGTGGCTGCTTCTAGCGGCTGTGGCGTGCACTCAGAGAGACCAGGACTTCTACGACTTCAAGGTTGTTAACATCCGGGGCAAGTTGGTGTCGCTAGAGAAGTACCGTGGCTCGGTAAGTGGACGCCTCGGCACCGCCTCGGCGGGGCCTGATGGGGGCGCCCCGCCGCGGGGAACGGCAGGGTGTTGTTCCGAGGGGGCTTCAGGGGCCCAAGGACACAGTGATGGCTCCCCACCGCCACGCGGGCATTCCCTCCAGAGCGCCGCTCCCCCAGATCCTGCTCCAGTTGGTCTCGCGACTACTACGTGGCGCGGCCCTGGGGCACAGTGAAACCTGAAACTCTTGCAGCCAGCTCTGATTTCCCTGCGGGAGACTTTGGGCAGTGGTCTGGGCCTCTTTCAGAGTCTGGCAGCCCCCGCTGAGCCTGTGTCACGCAAGGGTGGAAAAAGTAACCCTTAGCATCCTGAGGCCTTTGTCTCTCCTATCCCCACTTTCCCTGTCTGCAACTCGGGAAGTTGATGACAGTAAGTTCAATGAGAACGTTGTGGAGATAAATGTGCAGAGCCGAGGGAGTGCGTGGGTACCTTACACAGATCGTCCTCCAGGGAGGACACTGAGGCCCAGAGAGGGAAGATATTTGTACAAGGTCACACAACACTAGAAAGCACAGAGCAGGGAGGAAAACCATTCATCCACCCTTGATCTGCTGCTCTAGGCAAACTCCTAAGATAACAGCTCAGAAAGGAGATATGAGTCATCCAGGCTAACTGCTGCCTCCTTACCAAGAGGGCATCTCAGCAGATGGAGGTGTTCGGAGGAGGGGAAACATGTGATGAATCTTTGAACAAGAGTGGGCTTTAGGAAGACCAAGAGCATTTGGAGCAGAGAACTCTCCGTATCAAGGCTCCGTAGCAAACAGCAAGGAACGTGATGGAGAGATGGTGGTGGCCCTGACTTCAAGCAGTTGTGCTTGAGGAGTACAAAGCATGAGTCTGACAGTAGTGGAAGTTGAGGCTGAAGAGGGTAAGGGAGACACTAAGAGGGGCCTTGAACACTATATTCAGAGGTACCTAGATGTCGCACTGTGTGGAATGAAGAGCCCTCCAAGTCCTTTTCTCAAGTGAGGCTGTGGTGTGGGGAGGGCAAGGAATTGGTCTCTACTAGACAGGTGGACCCATTGTCCAGATTTGGATGGACCCCATAAAAATGAATGTCAGCATTCTTCTCTGGGGAGCAAAGCCATTTTAGTGAAGAAAGTACTGCCTAAACCTCTACATCCTGGGGAAAGCAATCCTTGTCCTCATTTTCCCCAAAGGTATTGTGAGTTTCCAATGAGATGACAGTGTGGCAGCACTGTCACAGAACACAGATAGAGTGTTCTGTACCTGTGTCTGGTGGGGCCCAGAAGGAGCTGCATCCAGAACTCAGAGCAAAGAGCCGATGAGAGCAGGGCCCGTTCCCATCAGGCCTCTCCTTCCTTCTAGTGCAGTGGGCCACAGAGCTCCAGGTTTACCACTTGACCAGCTCTGCTACTTATTAATTCATGTTTTTTTATGGAGCTCCTTGTATATGCCAAGTACTAGGCCAGTCCTGGGGATTCAGTGGTGAACAAAATACAGTGGTACCTCACTCCTCTTTGTGATGAGTGCCAACAAGTGTCGAAACCAACAAGTACTGAACAAGTGAGCAGTGATGAAGCATTTTCTCTTGCGGGTGGCACTGTGACTCATACAGGTTCTAGCAAGTGTAATAAATCCTGAGCAAGCACTGAGTGCTGAAACATTTTTTTCTTATTTAATGCAATGAGTACTGGTTTTGATGAGCTCTGAGGCTGACGAGTACCAAGGTACGACTGTAGATAAGTTTACATTTTAATAGAGCTTAGATAAAATGAAGAAGAAAGAGAAAATTAAAAAGGAACAGAAAAATAAATAAGGAATTTCCTAGTAGTAATAAGTGCTATGACAAGAATAGAATAAAGTCTATTTGTTTTCAGAAATAATAAGGCATCCAGGATGTGAGGAATAGAAATCCTGGAGAAAAATGACCCAGAGAATAATTCCAGAATTCTGAGTGTTTTAAAACTCTAGATCATTGGTAAATACATAGGAGCAAGAGGCCAAAAAATCAATCAGAAAGAAATTGGAAGAAAAACTGTCCCACAGCTGCTAAGTGTTAGAGTTAGAATTTGAATCCAGGCAGTCCAAGTCCAGCTCCAGAGCCCATGCCCCTGAACACCAGGTTTAGAGGGAAATCGGCAATAGTCAGTCCAGGGAAGCTATAAAACTGGGGTGTCCAGCTTGTGGCCTGTGGGCTGCATGTGTCCCAGGATGGCTGTGTATGCAGCTCAACACAAAATCATAAATTTACTTAAAACATTATAAGATTTTTTGTGTGATTATGTGTCATGATGTATTTAATATGTGGCCCAAGACAACTCTTTTCCCAGTGTGGCCCAAAGACGCCAAAAAGTTGGACACCCCTGCATGTATATGATGCTGAGCTAACCCCAATCTAGGTCTGCCCCTTGGGCAATATGGTCATTTATTTGCCTGCAAATAGTTACTGACTCATTACATATATTTCATGGCAATTTTTTTTAATTGAAAAAAATTTACTGGTTCTAGCACCCACTGCGTACTTGGCACTGGGGCCAGTCCTAGAGATATAGTCATGAAAAAGACTATGATCTATGCCCTCGGGCTAACTGGGAAGACAGTCATTTAGATTCGAGTTTGCACAAATCAGTGACCATTTGGGAAAGTGCTTGCCTGCAGCGTGAGGTTATATACATGTAGTCCTGAGTATAGTGTGTGTGTATATGTGTGTATGTGTGAATGATATGTTTGTTTGCTTGCTACACAAATTAACTAGTGTATTTGGATGTGTCTGTCTGTTTGGGTCACTTGAAGGATAATCTTTTTGACTTCAGGCATGGTACTAGAAGTAGGATTTCCTTCCTTCCAAAAGAGTGGGAAGATACACAAGTTACAGGATAAAAATAAATAATTTTCAGTACAGTCAGTGCCCGGGGATCCAGCAGAAAAGAAAATGGAAGACCCCTGACTAGGGAAGGAAGTTAAGGATCCCAGTTTCAGGACTTCTGGTTAAGAGGGAAGCATAGGTAAATATGCTTCATCTCCTCACACAATTACAGCAAAAGTTACAACTAGACTACACAACAAATTTCAGCCAGATCTGTCAGAAAATCGAGCTTTATGGAAGTCTAACAACCAAGGATTTATTTATTTATTTATTTATTTATTTATTTATTTTTAATTTTTTTATTGATTATGCTGTTACAGTTGTTCTATTCCCCCTTTATTCCCCTCCACCCCTACCCCTCATCCCCCCCATTACCCCCCTTTAGTTTATGACCATGTGTCTCAAGTCCTTTAGATTCTATATTTCCCGTGCTATTCTTGCCCCCCATCTATTTTCTATCTACTGTCTATGCTACTTATTTTCTGTACCTTCTCCCCCCTTCTCCTCCTCCCACTCCCCTGTTGCTAACCCTCCTTGAGATCTTCATTTCTATGTTTCCACTCCTGATCTAGCTGTCCTTTTAGTTTGCTTTTGTTTTAGGTGTGGTTGTTAATAACTGTGAGCTTGTTGTCCTTTCACTGTTCATGTTTCTTTAACTTCTTTTTCTTAGATAAGTCCCTTTAACATTTCATATAATAAGGGCTTGGTGATGATGAACTCCTTGAATTTGATCTTATCTGAGAAGCACTTTATCTGTCCTTCCATTTTAAATGAAAGTTTTGCTGGATAGAGCAATCTTGGTTGTAGGTCTTTAGATTTCATGACTTGGAATACCTCTTTCCAGCCCCTTCTTGCCTGTAAGGTCTCTTTTGAGAAATCTGCTGACAGTCTGATGGGGACTCCTTTGTAGGTGACTGTCCCCTTAGCTCTTGCTGCTTCTAGGATTCTCTCCTTCATTTGAATCTTGGCTAGTGTAATGATGATATGCCTTGGTGTGTTCCTTCTTGGGTCCAACTTCTTTGGGACTCTCTGAGCTTCTTGGATTTCCTGGAAGTCTATTTCCTTTGCCAGATTGGGGAAATTCTCCTTTATTATTTGTTCAAATAAGTTTTCCACTGGTGGCTGTGCCTTTCCCCCTTCTGGTACCCCTATAATTTGGATGTTGGAGCGTTTAAAGATGTCCTGGAGGTTCCTAAGACTCTCCTCATTTCTTTGAATTCTTGCTTCTTGACTCTTTTCTGTTTGGCCATTATTTGCTTTCTTCTGGTCCACTCCATTGATTTGAGTCCCAGCTTCCTTTTCATTGCTATTGGTGTCCTGTGCAATTCCATTCATTTCAATTAGTTTAGCCTTCATATGTTTCTCTAATTTGTGGCTATAATCAACCAGTTCTGTGAGGATCCTGATGACCAATGTTTTAAACTGTGCGTCTGTGAGTTTTGCTATTTCTTCATCACTTAGATCTATTGGCTCTGGGGCTCTGAGATCCTCCTGCGCCATTCTTGGTCTGTTCGGGCCCTTTAAGTGTGAGAAGCGGCGCCTTGGATTCCCAGGTCGCTGGGTTGTGACGCTGTATGTGGGGGCGTGGCCAGAGCGGGGAAATGGCGACCCCCTCTGCCGCTTCTCACAGCTGAGGAGACCTCTGGCCCCCTGGATTCCGCGGGCCTGAGTGTGTCTGGCCGAGTCCTCCTGTGCAACCCTGCTCCGCCAGCCGCTGGTTTCGCCCCTTACCGGTCAGGCTGAAGAATTTGTTGTTAACGGACTTCCGAAAAGTTCAATTTTCCGTGTTCTGGCTGTGTTTTCTGTTGCTAATATTTAGTTGTCCCTAAACTTGGTTGTGTGAGAAGGCACGGCACATCCACCTATGCCTCCATCTTGGCGGAAGTTCTCAGAAGTCTAACAACCAAGGATTTAAAGAAGTCACATTCATCCAGACAGGCCATGCTGCTAACACTGGGAATCAAAGCGGTTGTACCTAATACACAGAAACAAACACAGAGAAGCTGCCAAATTGAGGAGACAAAGAAATATGGCCTAAATGAAAGAACAGAACAAAACTAAAAAAAAATTAACTAAATAAAATGGAGATAAGCAGCCTATCAAGTGCATAGTTCAAAACACTAGTTATCAGGATTCTCCAGGAACTCACTGGGTACTTCAATAGCATAAAAAAGACCCAGGCAAAAATAAAGGTTACATTAAATGAAATTTTTAAAGAATCGATGGGGAACCAACAATGGAGGGGATGAGACTGAGAATCAAATCAACGATTTGGAACATAAGGAAGAAAAAAGCATTCAATCAGAACAATAACAAGAAAAAATAATTTTTTAAAAAAGAAAGAAATGAGGATAGGCTAAGGAGCTTCTGGGACATCATCAAACGTACCAATACCCAAATCACAGGGATGCCAGAAGGAGAAGAGGAAGAGCGAGAAATTGAAAACTTACCTGAAAAAAATAATGAAGGAAAACTTCCCTAATTTGGTGAAGGAAATAGACATGTAAGTCCAGGAAGCTCAGAGAGTCCCAAACAAGTTGGACCCAAAGAGGACCACACCAAGATGCATAATAATTAAAATGCCAAAGGTTAAAGATAAAGAGAGAACCTTTTACTTACTTACTTATTTATTTATTTATTTATTGTTAGAGAGTAGGTAAATAAATTTTATTTATTTATTTTTAGAGAGTAGCTCAAGGAGAGAGAAAGAAACATCAATGTGTGAAATACATCAACTGGCTGCCTCTCACATGGGGCCCGTGACCCAGGCATGTACCCTGAAGGGAAATCAAACCAGCAATCTGTTGGTTTGCAGGCTCATACTCAATCCGCTGAGTCACACCAGCCAGAGCTAAAGAGAGAATCTTAAACAGAGCAAGAAAAAAGCAGATAGTTACCTACAAAGGAGTTCCCATAAGACCATCAGCTGATTTCTTAAACTTGGCAGGCTAGAAGGGACTAGCAAGAAGTGTTCAAATTGAAGGGCAGGTATAGTGCTTCCCAAACAAAGCAAAACTAAAGAGTTCATTATCACCAAGCCATTATTAAATGATATGTAATAAGGAACTGTATAAGGAAAAGAAGATCAAATCTACGGACATTAAAATGGCAACAAATTCACAACTATCAACAACTGAATCTAATAAACAAACTAAACAAACAACCAGAACAGGAACAGAATCATAGATATGAAGATCATTTGGAGGGTCATCAGTTGGGAGGGGGAAGAGGTAAAATGGGGGTAAAGGTGCGGGGATTAAGAAGTACAAATTGGTAGGTACGAAATAGAAAGGGGAGTGTTAAAAATGGTATAGGAAAAGGAGAAGCCAAAGAACTCATGTGCATGACCCATGGGTATGAATTAAGGGGGAGGATTGCTTGCGGGAATGAGGGTACTGGGTGGAGGGAGTTCAAGGGGGGAAAATGGGATAGCATAATCAATAAAATATTTGTTTTTAAAAAGGATCCCAGTTTCTTACTACCACAGGCAACCATGGCATATGATATGCTGATGCAAATGGGGGAGGGTGTTCTAACAGCCTGTGGCCCCAGGGAGTGGTTTGTTTCTCATCTGATGGAGGCAGGGTGAAGGAGTTACAGCCCAGTGGTCCTTAACCAGGGGTATTTTTGCCCTCAGGGGACATTTAGCAATGTGGGGAGACATTTTTGATTGTCAAGACTAAGCATCTAGTGGGTAAAGGCCAGGGATGCTGCTAAACATCCTACAATGAACAGAATAGCCCCCTCACAACAAAGAATAGCCAGCCCCAAATGTCTAACTGAGCAATTTTTGCCTGTGCATGTCCAGAGTGGCCCTCTTTATGGAGCCAGCCAGTATAATCCTGGCACTTCTAAAACGGTGGCCAGAGAGATAGGGCCGGGCAGCCCAGACACAAGGTAGCATTTAAAATTCTTAATAACATATAATTAGAAGCCAAAAAGATAGCATTGGTGCCAGAATTCTAATTGCATTACTATAATCAAAGTTCCATCACCCATCTTTATATTTATTAGCTAAAGGTACTAAATAAATTTATAAATAAATTTGTATAAATAAAGTTATTTCAAGGCAATAATACATTTAAGGGTGAGCCTAGTGATAGAAGAAAGTAGTATTGTTTGCAGGAGGGAGCAGGGCAACACGGGATTGCCCTGGGGACCTTGGGGTCCTTTTATCAAGAAAGCCCATGTCTGTCTGTGTTGCAGGTGGTTGTGTATGTATGCACACTTTTTCATTCATCAGGTACCTTCTGAGACTTTTGCATACATCAGGCCCTGGAGTGAAGTGGACATAGCTCCCATCCTCAATGGGCTTAATTCTGGAAGGCAGACTGACACATGTAGAGGCAACTACAGTGATAGGCCAGAAACTGAACCATGTCTACCTTTCTGCTCCCCACATCACTTCTTAATGTGACTCCACCATGTGTATGCTTCTCAATGATTGTGCTGTGTGTTTGTGGGTATGTGTGATATGTGCTAATGAATCTTTGTATCATAGGGCATATGTATACCCATTTGTGAATGTTGTATGCTTATTCTCATGAGTGTTCATGTATGTATATGCATACATATCTGTAAGCCCTGTGTGTTTGATTGCATTTATGCCTGTGTTCATGTATATATGGGAACATTGCACTCACATTTACATGTGTACATTGTGTTCTCGTATGTAGGAGAGAATATGAATTGTTGGGGGCAGTCACACATGTGGGCATCTATATCAAGGCATGTACAAGTACATGCTTGTTGACTGGGTTGTGCATGTCTGGATTTTTGTTTTCGTCACACAGGTGTCCCTGGTGGTGAATGTGGCCAGCGAGTGTGGCTTCACAGACGAGCACTACCGAGCCCTGCAGCAGCTGCAGCGGGACCTGGGGCCCCACCACTTCAATGTGCTTGCCTTCCCCTGCAACCAGTTTGGCCAACAGGAGCCCGACAGCAACAAGGAGATCGAGAGTTTTGCCCGCCGCACCTACAGTGTCTCTTTCCCCATGTTTAGCAAGGTCGCAGTGACTGGCACTGGTGCCCACCCTGTCTTCAAGTACCTGACCGGTGAGTCCAGATCCTTCCCCCTTACCTTCCCTCAGCTGGCTGAGGCCATGGCTTCCTGTACAGCAGAAACCACTGGCTGCCTGGGTGACCTGGGGCCCTTTCCCAACCAGCCCTCTGCCAAGATGTGTTGATCGTCTATTCCAGCACTAATCTTTGAGGATGTGCTGAGGGGTATTCCTGCCTAAGAATATCTTCACTGTGCTGCCTTTAAGTTCTTCCCAGAGTTACTCTTGCAGACATCTCTAAGATCCTTTGCATAGGTAGGGACTCCTGGAAGGAGACTGGGCCCTCAGATATTATTAGTCAGTTGTGAATAGCTGGACTCAGGATGGAGAAACTAAGGTGCAGACAGGGAGGGGATGCGATGTGCCCAGAGAAGCTGATAGGCATCTCCTATCCTGAGTCAGAGTCAAAGTCTATAGGCCACAGGAGAGGAACCTGAGCTAAAAAAGCAGATCTAAATAATCTCATTATTTAGAAATAAATTCCTTCTCCAGCCCCAGAAACCTCAGAGCCACAAAATGAGGTCACGGGCCACACTTGTCATTATAGCCCTGTTTCTTCCCTGAGACCTCTCTCCTCCTTTGGGGACTCCTTTTTTTTGCCTTCTCCTACTCCCTGCTTCTGGTTGCCTTCCAGTCCCTTGCCACCCCCATCCACCCATTTATCTGGAGAAGTAAATGAGAAGCAACAGTATAGCAAACAAAATGTCTCTTACAAAGGCAGATTGAAATTTTGCTCTGTGGGTCAATCTTAATATTTGCTTTTTCTCCCCCAGTCTTTTTTTTGTTTTTATATTTTATTTATTTATCTTTTGACAGGAAGGGAAAGAGAGAGGGAGAGAAGAAGCATCAATGCACCTCTCGTGTGTCCCCTGCCAGGAACTGGCCCACAACCCAGGCATGTGCCCTGACTGGGAATCGAACCACGATCCTTTGGTTTGCAGGCTTGCACTCAATCCACTGAGCCACACCAGCCAGGGATCCCCCTGTCTTTTTATTAGTTCCTTCTTAGTTACCATAGTTATGGATCAAAGCTGACCTGCTCCTGCTTTGGAAGTACCTGGGGAGCTCTTAATGTATTAGCCTGAATTGGCTGGTGTAGCTCAATGGATTGAGTGCCAGCCTACAAACCAAAGGGTCCTGGATTCGATTCCCATTTATGGCACATGCCTGGGTCGTGGGCCAGGTCCCCAGTAGGGGACACGCAAGAAGCAACCACAGGTTGATGTTTGTCTCCCTCTCTTTCTCCTTTTCCTTCCCTGTTCTCTAAAAATAAATAAATACAATCTTTTTTTTAAAAAATGCATTAGCCTGAAACCTACTAAAGCAGGGTGCAAGAATCTGTTTATTTTAAGCACCTCTCACCACCACCACCATGATTTAGATGCAACCAGTCCATGAACTAACATTTGAAAACCACTTCGATTACATTAGAGAATAGAGTGTGGACTATTCAGTCTTTGAGGTCATCAGTAAACGACAATCTGATACTACTTTAGCAAGCATTCCACAGAATCCTAGAGCACTAGTTCTTAACCTTGGCACCACATTAGAATCTCCCCAGGAGTTTTTGGAAAATACTGCTGCCTGAGTCCTACCTCCAGAGACTCTGATTTAAATGGTTTGCCTCAAGGGAAGAATGGATACTAACAGTGGAATTCCAGGGGATGGTACACAGGGAAGCACACTTTGCTCTCCTTCTTCCTTTTTCTCTAGAAACTTCTGGAAAGGAGCCCACTTGGAATTTCTGGAAGTACCTCGTGGCCCCAGATGGAAAGGTGGTAGGGGCTTGGGACCCAACTGTATCGGTGGAGGAGATCAGACCCCAGATCACAGCGCTTGTGAGGAAGCTCATCCTGAAGAAGCGAGAAGACTTATAACCACTTTCCCTCCTCTCCCACTCTCCCCTTCCTCCCTACCTTGCTTTTTGGTGACCAAAGCAAACTCAAATGGTGCTTCAAAGGGAGAGACGATGGCTCTCCTTCATCCATATTTATCTCACCTATGCCATCACTCCTGTGAGGGGGAAATTCTAGCATTCTGATGATTTGAATCTTAGAGCAACCTATAGGAACTGGCCAATGAGAGCTCTTGACCAGTGAATCACCAGCCAGTAAGAACTTCTAGCCCATGAAAACATGTGGCAAATAGAACTATATCAAGCAACAATCTCCTACCTATTAAGAACTCTATGAAACAGGGCCGATTCCTACCTCACAGGGCTGTTGTGAGGATTAATGAAAGACCTATGAACGTGCCTAGGACAATGGCAGCCCAACAGGAGACACCCAATAAATGTTCTTTGCATATAAACCAAAAAATAACGTGATCAATGAAAACTTGCACCCAACATGGATTCCCAACCAATGAGAATCCAGGTCAAACATTTATTTGTTGTTGTTTTCTAAAGTATTATTTTTTTTAATTACCAAAGGAATGTAAATTCATTGTAAGACAATGCAGGATGACATGATAAAATGAAAATGTACCCCTCAAGCCTTTTTGTATCGGGCCAATCATTATGACTCACTGAAATTTCCCTGACCAAAAGTACACTACAATAATGAAGAGACAAAAGATACGAATAGATAATTCACAGAATATAGATGGATAATAAGGATATGAAAAGATAGTTACCTTAATTCAAGTTGGAAAGATTTTCAATTTTTTTATCTTCACCCGAGAACATTTTTTCATTGCTTTTAGAGAGAGGAAGCAAGAGATAGAAAGATCGATGAAAGAGAGAAGCACTGATGGATTGTCTCTGGAATGTACTGGACTGGGGATCTGACGTGCCAGAACTAGGGACCAAACCTGCAACCTAGGTATGTGCCTTGACCTGGAATTGAACCTTCAGCCCTTCAGTTACAGGACAGTGCTTCAACCAACAGAGCCACACTGGCCAGGGCACCAAGTTGGAAAGATTTTAAAAATGATAATACCCATTGTTGATAAGGATGTGGGGAAATAGGCATTTGCATAAACTATTGTTGGGACAATAAAAAGGCACAAGTTTTTGGAGGGTGATTTGGCAATATCTTTTAAAACAAAATGTTCATACCCTTTGATCCATTATATAGAAGACCCCCAAACTGTGCAAATATATATGTGTATACAAATATATATGTGTATACACTGTTCATAATAGTGAAAACTGGATATAATCCTTGTGTCCATCAACATAATTTATTACCAACTTGTGGTCTGGTAATAAATTATGGTACAAATCCAAATGATACACTAATATAGTTATTAAATTAATGAATTAGATTTCTATATGCTATCACAGAAAGTTGTCCAAAAGTGAAAAAAGGGCAAGCTGTACAACAGAATGAACCCATGCACACACACACAAAATCCAGTAAGAGAATAATATTTTTATTAAAAATTTACAATGTTCCCTGGTTGTTGTGGCTCAGGTGGTTGGAGCATTGTCCCGAAAACCAATAGGCCTCAAATTTGGGTCAGGGCACATGCCTGGGCTGCAGGTTTAGCCCCCAGTTGAAGTACATACAAGGCAGCTGATTGATATTTCTCTCTGATATCAGTGCATCTCTCCCTCTCCCCTTCCTTTCCCCCCTCTCTCTCTAAAATCAATAAGCATGTCCTCAGTTGAGGATAAAAAAAATTTACAATGTTAAATGAGAAGGAGAGAAGGGGGAAGGAATATAGACCAAAACATTCATGGTGGTTGCGGGTGAGGGCTGGTAACAGGACTCACTCACTTTCTTCATTAAGTATTACTGTGATGTTTGAATTTTGTATGTAAAATGTATATTTCACTTCTATATAAATATTTTTAAAGGCAGCTAGAACCTGAGGTGATGGGTAAAGTCACTGATTGATAATTCATTGGCCAGTAAGAATTTCTTGTCTACTTCTCCCAAGGTCACTCTTCTAGAAGACACAGACACAGATTCAAGTCCCAGCTGTGCCCTGACTCAGACTGAGCAAACTACCATAGTTTGCTGTGTATAATGCACACCCACGGTTTTGTGTGCATTATACACAGGATTATGCCCATGATATGTAATCATTATACCCATGTATAATGCACATCCTTATTTTTCCCTCAAAAATCTAGGCAAAAAATGCACATTATACATGGCAAAATAGGGGTATTTCCTGTCTTCTGTCCTCAATTTTCCCACTGGACCACAAGAGAGTTGAACTCTGCTTATAGGTCTCAAAGTCTCCCTTAATGGTCATCCTCAAAAGCTGCCCAGAGCAAATGAAGGCTCTCTTTGTGCTGACCACAGCCCTTCTGAGGTGACCTCCAGAGTGCCCTTACACACCTTGCTTCATGCTCCAGCTTGGTATATACTTCGTGTGTGTTTGCATACATATACATGCAATGAAACCCAGCTATCAGGGACATTTCTGGGATGGAAATCCCGAGCCACATTCTCAGTGGACACATCTCTGACTTTATCCTTCTTGACCTCTCAGCCACATCTGCTATTGCTGACTACACCCTCTTCCTGACACATTCTCTTGCCTTAGCTTTCATGTCACTGTCTTCTCTTGGTTTTCTCCTTTTCTCTGAGTGCTCTTTCCTTCTCAGTGTTGGTTGATGTTTCTTCCTCTGTCCACTCCTTCCCTATTGTTCTTCCTTGAGGTTTTAGGCTGGTCCCTCTTGTCACTTTATACACTCTTCTGCAGCAGCTGTCCCATTTTTTTTCTCATGGTTTTGACCTTGGACTCAGATCTCTACCTTGGACTCATATCAACCTGCCTACTGACATGCCTGAAGATACCTGAGTTCAACATACGCAGAACTCACCTGCTCTTGTTCCCACCCAGCCTTTGCAAACCCCCTAAGCCTTTCCCGTCACATACCACTCTATTCTCACTGTTTAAGCAACTACCCTCTCTCCTCTCTCTTTAGTACAGTGCCTGATCCTTATCAGAGTACAGGTAATTAGATGGCAAACATTTTGAGCAATAGCTCCATGCTGTCCCTGGCTACCTCCTATCTGAAAACCAAAGACAAGCAAACAGTTTCCCCTAGAAGTTTAGAGTCCAGCTGAGAATTTTAACATCTCATTTAGACCTTCATTCCTTTCAGCATTATCAGCTTTCTGCTGTCCTAATGTGCAAGAGTCCCCTAGGAAAAATCTCACTTTAAATCCTTATCAACTATTATCTTAGTCATTGGTTAACCAGTAAATACTAACAAATCAGTTAATATTTCATTTTCTACCAATACTTTAGTTATCTTCTAACTCTTTACTTGTAAGCTAAATACTTTATTTATTGGGCTACATATTAGCTCTCAGTAATGTGGAAGAAAAAGGGCAGGTCTTTCTGGGTAGTCATGCCCCAGGCCTATAACTTCTTTAGTGAAAGGTTTTTAAGCAAGTTCTGTTCATTGTTCTTGGGCTGGAGGTTAACACACCTTTGAAACCTGGAAGTAATACTGCTCAGAGGTGTAATCACTCTTAAGAAAGCACCTAATCTAGTAATCTAATCCTGCCTTGCTTTCTCCCACCTTCATGTAATCTTCCTTAAATACCTCATTAATTCCAAATGAATAAAAAAAATGCAAACTGTTACTCTACAGAGCATCTGAGATCTTGGTCCCCCACATATTTTGTCAGTTTGGCTCAAATAAACTCATAAAAATTCTTTACAGGTTTGGACTGTTCTTACATCAACAGTACTTTAGCTATTTTCCAAACCATTTTAATTATTCATTTATATTGTAATTATTTCCTTAAGTCTTATGACTGATTCCTTAGCTGCCTGCTATTAGTCTAACAGTAAGGAGTTATAACCTACCCCACCATCCTTTTAACCTTGTTTCTATAAATGCTGACTCCGACTTACAGTAGCATGTTTGAGTAAGAATCCTAGGAACTACGAAAAATAAAGACTCTGACCTTCAGCCATCCCAACTCTGGGAGATTTACTGACCTTCAACCGTAAAACCAGGATGACACACACCAGACCATCACTTGACCAGTTTTGAGGGCTTAGGGGAGTAGACTGTTCTGGTCTGCCAGTAGAGACCTTTTCAATCCCCTCCTTTTTACCTCTTTGTTCTGCTTTCCCTCTCCCTCCCTTTAAAAGCCTCTGCCTGCACGGACATGTTAAGATGGGCTTTGAGATAAGAGTCCCCATCTTCTCAGATTGCTGGTATCAGAATAAATCTCTTTCCTTATCAGTATAGCTGGACCTGGATTCAGTTACATTAGTTGAGGGCAGGTTAGCAAGTCAGAGACCACCTGTTAGGAGTTTGGGGAGGGGGTCACTTCTGCCTATGGAGATATGATAAAGGACTTTGTCTTTTGCTGAGCTCTCCTTCCACATTCCCTACCCAGTGATTCATTCTCTTTCAACATCAACTGGTCCCAGGTCCTCAGATAAAGGGAGGTCTCATCCAAACTGCTTATTTACTTCTCTAAGTTGGTCTGGACAGTGGAAGGGGAAGAGTGAGGGGACTTCCTGGAAAATTACTGTTCTGCACTAGGTTCTAGGGATACATCAGTAAACAACACATGTTCTCAGTTGTCATGGTGCTTAGAGAATAGTGGGAAGGCAAAGATTAACCAAGTAATTACATAACAAATTGTAATATTATATAATTACAATTATGATAAGCACCAGGAAGAAGCACAAGGAGCTATGGGCATGTATAAAGTGGCAATGGTCCTATTCTAAAGTTCAGAGAAGTCTTTCCTGAGGAATGACATGTAAGCTGAGAGCTGAAATTTTAGTAAGAGTCAGTGGGGGAAAGAAGTGGGGAGGTCCTAAGCACTCGTAGTGCCTCTTGCAAAGGCCCTAAGGCAGGAAGACACTAGACTGTATGGAGCCAGTGCTGCCTGGTGAGAGAGGCATGCAAGGATCAGACCATTGAAGACCCTGTGCAATGCACATAAGAAATGCTGGTGAACAAACTGCAACAATACAGATGATGTATTATAGAACTGTACACTTGAAACCTATATAACTTTATTAGCCAATGTTGCAACAATAAATTTAATAAACTTTATATTAAGAAAAAAGAAAGGATAGTAACCTGACCTCGATGACAGAGCTTGTTTTCAGTCCTAAATCTTCAGGGCAAAATAAACCCTAGGGCAGAAGCAGACCTGAACTGCAGATAAGAGAAGTATGCTGCTCCAGAGTCTGTCTGGAGGGCTAGGCACCAGTGGAGACACCTGTGGAAAGCAGACAGAGCCCTGGCTCCAGCAGGACTAGCCTGGGGATTGCTGGAGGGGACTTCCAAAGGAGCTGCTGGCTTAATTCCTGGGTCCCACCCAGAATAATTATATTGCAGGTGGTCAAAGGCATTCAAGAAATGCTGCCTTGGGTATAACAAAACCTCTGCAGCTGCCTCTCCTGCCTAGATCTCCATGAATCCTTACATCTTAGCCCTCACCTGATTTTTACCACTTTGTATCAGAATATAGACTGGGCAGGGACAACAAAAACTCAAAGTAAACCCAGTCTCAAATAAAGTAGAAATTTCTTTATATTCTTTATAAAAGTTGGACCTTTTATCTGCTCCATGAATTAGTCAGCGGTCCAGGAGCACAGCTCTGCCATCCCTAGAATATTGCCAACATCTGCAATATTGATTCAAGATAGCTGACTACCTCAATCCTGTTCCTTTAAGGGTGCTACATCACCTTATACTGATAAGAAGACTTACTCACATAGCCATCCATACCTAGACAGAAGGATCACTGAGAAATAAAATTTTTATTCTGTATGGCCATGAGCCCAGATGAAAACTGGGGGTTCCATTAATATAGAAGAAAAGATGTTGGGAGAGCAGGGACAAATAGCTGTCCCCTTTTCCTTCTTCCTGCTACCATTATTCTGACTCAGGATTTATCATCCTTCTAGCTCATCTCCTTGGCCCCCACTCCCTCCTCTAATCATCCTCAACATCACAAGTTGAAAGATGTTCAAAACAGCAATCCGAGCACATCAACTCTCTGCTCCAATGTGCTCCCCACCCTTGTCTTTGGAATAAAGGCTTGGTTCCTTAATGTCATTCGAAGTCTTTGTGTCTCATCCTCCTTTGTTTGCCCTATTCTCTTTCACTCCTTCCTTGTGTTGCACAGGTAGAAATTCTTCTCCTTTCCATGATATCGCATTACTGTGCACCTTATCTCTGTTGTATTCTTTGAGCATAACAAATGCCTGATCCATAATAGGTGTTCAACAGGCATTTATCTATGTCTGTTTCTGAATGTTCTGGGACTGTTGGAGCCCCCTGCATCAGCTAGGTTCCTCCTGAAAGGCTCAAATTCTCCCCCAAAAAGGGGTGACCAATCCCAGTGAGATGGGAGAGCCCAGTCAAAAGGCCCCTTCCTCTTACCCCTTGGAATAGGCCTGCTCTCTTCTGATCACATGAGCAGTTGGGCCCATTCATCATTTGCCAGAGGGAGTCCTACAGGGCCACAACTCTACCTGGTATTTGTGACATTTTTGGAACATATTAAAAAATTATTCATTGCTTATTTGAAATTCAAATTTAACTAGCCATCCTGTATTTTATCTGTCAACCCCACTGCCGTGCCATAGGGAGCTGAACTAGATAGCCTGGGTCTAGGGTCTTTCCAACTCTAAGCAACAGATTTTAACTCTTCTGATTAACTCTTTAACTCTGATTTGCCTTGTTCCTCTCCATGAAAGCAGAAACTCTTCTAAGAATTAAAGTGGAAGAGCTAACAGCCTAATCAACATAACAAATGACAAGACTACCCTACTAGCTGTGTAACCTTGGGGCAGTCACTAACCTCCCTGAACCCTGACCCCTTCATCTAGCCAATAAAAAGAAACCAAGATTTTACTTAATACGTGCTGGGCCCTGTGCTAGCCACATCCATCTACGTGTTCCCTCACCTGGAATATTCAGACAAACTAATGTATAAGAAGGCACATTGTAAGTGCAAATGGGCTGTATCAAATATGAAATAGTATTAGCATCAGAGTAATGCTGTCTGCAGTTGATTCCCTGACCCTTAGCGGGAAAGAAGCTTCCCTGGCTTGTTCATATTGCAGAGGAAAAACACTGCAGGACTCTAGAGGGTAGAGCAGTGGTTCTTAACTAAGGGTGATTTGGCTCATGAGGGGCCATTTGGCAATGTCTGAAGACATTTTTGGCTGTCTCAGTAAGAGATGGCATCGAATGGGTCAAGGACAGGGAGGCTGATAAACATCCTGCAGTGCACAGGACTGTCCACTACAGCAAAGATTTATCTGCCTCAAAATGTCAAAGGTTGAGAAATCCTGGCCTAGAGTGTTGCAAACAGGATTCATATCCCAGGGCTGCCACTTAGCAGCTGGGTGACTCGTGGGCAAAGTACTTTGCCTCTCTGGGCCTCACCACCTTCTCTGGGGCATCTAAAATATCAATAGTACTTACCTCATAGTCCTACTATGATGACTAAATGACAGCACACCCATGAAGCACGGCAGGGCCTAACAACAGTAAATATTCAGTAAATAGTAATAGTTCTTGTGGTCATTTATGTATTACTGTTACCATTTAAAAGACAGAAAATTGAGGCCCAGAGGGGAACAGGCTTGCCTAAGGTCTAGAGAAAAATCAGTCCTAGTCATGGGTTGACAAAGTTCATTAAGAGTCTTCTGTACCAGATGACATGATACTGTGGACAGAGAACCCTAAAGATTCCACCAAAAAACTACTAGAACTGATAAATAGGTTCAGTAGAGTAGAGGATATAAAATAAATATCCAGAAGTCAGTTGCACTTTTATACACCAATAATGAACTACCAGAAAGGAGAACTAAGGAAATAATCCCATTTACACTTGCACTAAAAAATAAAAATAGAAAATAAAATACCTAGGGACAAATTTAACCAAGGATGTAAAGACCTGTATTCAGAAAATTGTAAGACATTGAAGAAAGAAATTGAAGGAGATACGAATAAGTGGAAGCATATACCATAACATGGACAGGAAGAATTAACATCATTAAAATGTCCATACTATGCACAGCAATCTATAGATTCAATGCAATTCCTGTCAAGATACCAATGGCATATTTCACAGAACTAGAAAAAATATTCCAAAATTTGATATGGAACCAAAAAGACCTCAAATAGCCACAGCAATCATTTTACTTATTTATTTTAATTATATTTCATTGATTATTCTATTACAGTTGTCCTGATTTTCCCCCTTTGCCCCACCTGACTCAGCACACCCCTACTCCCTCAGGCAATCCCCACACCATTGTTCATGTCCATGGGTCATGCATACTTGTCCTTTGGCTACACCATTTCCAATGCTGTACTTTACATCCCCATGACTATCCTCCTGTAAGTACCTATTTGTACTTCTTAGTCCCCTCACCTCTTCACCCATTCCCCCACACTCCCTTCCCATATCTGGCAACCATCAAAATGCTCTCTGTATCCATGATTCTATCCCTGCTCTTGTTTGCTTAGTTTGTTTTTTAGATTCAATTGTGGATAGATTTGTACTTTTTTGCCATTTTATTGTTCATAGTTTTGGTCTTCCTCTTTTTCTTAAAGCCAGGATGACTAAACCAGGATGATGCACACCAGACCCTCACTTGCCTTATCAGAATGGAGTGTGCTTGTCTGCATGTAGAGAACTTTACAACCCTCTCCCTTGATCTCTTTGCTCTGTTCCTCCCTCCCTCCTTATAAAAACCTCTGTTTCTACTGAAAGGTGGGGATGGGCTTTGGGATATGAGTCCCCTATCTTCCCAGGTGGATGGACTTTGAGATGTGCCAAGAGTTCCCCCATTTCCCAGGAGATGGGCTCTGAGACAGGAGTCCCCCATCTTCCAGATGGCCAGCATCTGAAGAAACCACTTTCCTTAAATCAGTACCTGCTTCTTGAGTATTGGTTTTGGTAGCTGTAGGCAGGCAGACCTCCATTCAGTTACAGAATCACACTACCTGATATCAAACTATACCACATCATAGTAATCAAAACAGCATGGTACTCGCATAAAAACAGACACATAGATCAATGGAACAGAATATAGAGAGTCCAGAAATAAACCCCATGCCTTATGGTCTATTACTATTTGACAAAGAAGGCAAAAAACACACTGTACAATGGGGTAAAGATAGTCTATTTAATAAATGGTGTTAGGAAAATTGGACAGATATGTGAAAAAAAAAAGAAACTATATCATCTTCTCACACCATACACAAGAATAACTCAAAATGGATTAAAAACATGTCAGATTGTAAATCATAAAACATAGGCAGTAAAATCTCAGACATTTCTTGTAGCAATATCTTTTTAGATGTATCTTCTAGGGCAAGGGAGACAAAAGAAAAAATAAACAAATGATACTACATCAAACTGAAAAGCTTTTGCAGAGCAAAGGAAACCATCAACAAAATGAAAAGACAACTCACTGAATGGGAGAACATATTTGCCAATGATACATCTCATAAGAGGTTAATAAAGAGCTCATAAAATTCAACACCAAAAAAACAATCCAATTTAAAAACGGGCAAAGGACCCAAATAGACACTATTTCAAAGAAGACATACAGATGGTCAATACATATATGAAAAGATACTCACATCACTAATCATCAGAGAAACACAAATTAAAACCACAATGAACCCTGGCCAGCATGGCTCAGTTGGTTGGAGTGTCATCCCGTGTACCAGAAAGTTGTGGATTCAATCCCTGGTCGGGGCATGTACAGGAGGTAACCAATAGATGTTTCTCTCTCACACTGATGTCTCTCTCCCTCCTTACTCTCTCTCTCAAATCAATAAATGTATCCTCATACAAGGATTTAAAAAACCACAGTGAGATACCACTTCATACCTGTCAGAAAAGCTATGAGTTAATCAATCAAAAACAAGTGTTGGCAACCATGTGACAAAAAGGGAACACCTGTGCACTGTTGGTGGGAATGCAGATTGGTGCAGCCATTGTGGAAAGCAGTATGGAGTAAATACTTCAAAAAATTAAAAATGGGACTGCCTTATGACCCAGCAATTCCAGTTCTGGGAATATATCTGAAGAAACCCAAAATACTGATTTGAAAGAATATATGCACCTCTATGTTCATTACAGCATTATTTACAATAGGTGAGACTTGGAAGCAGCCCAAGTGCCCATCAGTAATGAGTGTATAAAAAGCTGCAGTACATCTGCAGGATGGAACACTACGCAGCCATAAAAAGGAGGAAATCTTACCTTTTGTGCCAGCATGGAGGAACTTGGAGAGTATTGGGCTAAGTGAAATAAGCCATGATTAGTGACATGAGCATCTTTCCAAATACCATATGATTATGATTTCACTTATATGTGAAATCTAATTAACAAAATAGAAACAAACTCATTGAAACCTTGGACTAAAGAGGGTAGAGGTTCAGGGGCTGGGTGAAAAGGGTGAAGAGATTAAGTAAGAAAACCCTCATAGACAGAAAACAGTATGGTGATTACTAGAGGGACGGGGGAGGGGGAGGCAGAAGAGGGTAAAGAGGGGATAAACGGTGATGGAAGGAGACTTGGCTTGGGGTGGTGAACACACAATACAACATATAGATTTTGTATGATAGAACTGGGCACTTAAAACCTAAATAATTTTATTAACCAATGTCACCCCAATACATTCTATTTTTTAAAAAGAGTCTTATATAGACAAAGGCTGCACTTTTCTTATGTGTGAACCTAACATAAGACATAATCCTTGCTCTCAGACAAGTGAAAGGAAGAAGAGGAGTAACCTTTGCTGAGTGCTCACATACTTATATCTCATCTCTACGAGGTAGGTACTTTAACTTCTATTTTACAGATGAGGCTAAGTGAGAAGTAGTGTCCCAGCAATCAGTTGCCAAGTAGAGATTAAAACCTAGACTAATCTGGTACCGAGCCCTTGCCTTTCCCTCTATTCTCTGCTTCCTGCACTTCAGTGACACTCCAGCAGGGAAAGGGGAGGTTTAGGGTTGGAGACTCTGCTACTAGGGGAGGGCCATTCACTCCAGGGTGCAGAAGCCTTGGAATAAATTCTACAACTGGATGATATCAGGCTGAAAAAGAAATGAGAACATGAAAAATGCTTAATAACATGTAAGTGATGGACTCATGTTGAGACCAGAGCAGGAGACAGGCAAAGGAAGTGTTTCCCTGAGCTTTGGAGACCAGCTGCCATTCCCAGATGGGTCCTCGGGTGAATAAGTTAACCTCTCTGAGTCTCAATATCATTACACATTAAAACACCCATTATTTATTTATTAATTCCTTCCTTGAAGCAGGGTTGCTCTATATGGTCATGTAGGTTTTGAAGGTGTCCAGCAGAAGGGACAGGTAAGAGTTGAAATCTACCTTGAACTCTGATTCTCAAGCCTTGTCTTCAGCATAAAGCTACACCAGGTCAGAGGAAGGGGCACTTTTTTCTAATTTGCACAAAGGAACAAAGCAGCACAAAGCAGCCGCCCTGCCTTGAGAACTAGGCCCTTGGCTCAGTGTCATGAAACCGGGGCTGAAGCAGGAACAGCCTCTGACCTGCAGGACGAGTCCTGTGGTATCTGTGAGATGATGGCACAGGGAACGTGCTCCGTGAAGGGTACAGGTACTGTCAACACAGAAGATGCTTCAATAAAAATAATGCCCTGAGAAAATGGTCACAGAAAGGCTTCCTGTTGGAAGGGTTCCTTTAAGCTGGGTCTTGAAGGGTGGAAAGGATGTAGATAAGCAAAAGCCACAGGGAGCAGGCATTTCTTTCCTGACCCTCTCTGAGAAGACAGGCTACCTTGGTGGAGAGGGCACTGTTTTGAGAGCTGCTCAGTGGGGTTTCAGTTCTGGCTTTCCAAGTGCCAGGCTTTGGCTCTTCCCACTGCCCTGATGCAGAGAGGGAAAGTGACCTGCCTAAGGTCAAACCACAGGTGACTGGAACTTATTACTGGCACATCCTTGGGTGAGTTACTTCACCTCTTTGGGTCCAGTTTTCCTGTCAGTAAAGCAGGGTATAAAATTGTGTGTGTGTGTATGTGCACCTTGGAGACTCCATATCAATCTAGTAAGATATTGCTGTGTGGAGAGATTATGGGTGACTTTTTAATTTTTTCTTTCAGTTTATCTGTATTCTCTGATTTGTTGTTTTATAATGAATGTGTATTATTTACTTATTTTTTTAATAGACGGAGTCATACTGCATAGGGTTGTAAGGACTAAAAGAGATAATGAAAAGCACAGCACAATTTCTACTTCGCAGTGTGTCCTCCATGAATATGAATTCTCCTTGCTTACCTTTCTCTTATGCTTTTCTTTCCTTCTGGTGTTAGAGGCTTTGGCCCCCAACCTCAGCTGGGGAGGGAGGAGGAGGTGGTACGGGATTCTGATTTCAGCTACTGGCTGTGCAGCTTTGGGTAAATCACTTAACCTCCACCAGTCTCAGTTACCTTGTCTGCAAAATGGGAAGAATAACACCTACCTCAAAAGAAGTTTTTAAGGACTATATGATATACAAGATGGGAAACTGTGTGGCACATATTAGGTCTGCAATAAGTGTCTGCAGGGAGAAATGTGATATATGTGATGAAGGAACAAGCATTGGAATAGTAGCTAGACCAGAAGAGGTAGAAGATTTTAGCATAGATTCCACAGAGCCCAAAGGGGTTCATGGATAGAGATTACGGTGAGAGGAGGGGAAGCATGAACTTGGATTTTCACTAACATCAAACTGAAATTCAGCATATCCTTCTATCATGCCTATAAGCAACAAATCACAGCAGTGACTTTGGCACCAATAGAAATCATAGATATTTCCACATTGCATTACAATAGTGATGTCTTGAAATACCCATTCACCACCTCAAAATTACCATAGGTTATCAGACCAGTTAACCTATTCTAGATTTTGTTATTTAAGGTGTTTTAAAGGGGACTAAATCATGAAATAAATATTTTGATAATGATTTTATATAATTGATTTCCTTTGTATTCCAAAGTAATTTGTTTTTTGTAATTAAAAAATATTCTTCTAAATAGCGGTTCGTAGTTTTCATCAGACTGCCAAAGAAGATCCTTGGCTAGACAGATGTGAGTCCCAGTCTTGCCTGGACCATAGATTACTGTGTGACATTGGTCTTGGTAAGTCTCTCAGGGGCATAATCATCCTAGCTTGTCTCACTCACAGGGTTATTGGGAGGAACGAATTAATTCTTGGCTGCTAAAGGACTTTGGAAACTGTTGGCAGCTTCCCAATTTTACTAAAAAGCCAGAGTAGAGTGCTTTCTACCTCCCAGTTGAACCCTAGGTCTCCAGGAGCACTCTCTCCTTTCCACAAGTTACTACCACTCCTCTTTACTCCCTAATAAATACAGAGGCCAAAATGTACCTCCATTAGATTATACTACCCAGCTCCCAGTCTGTAGAGATCCCCAGCTGGGGAAACATTTTCTGAGGGATAATAACAATTTTCTCCAGTTTTCATATTTGACCTTAGAGTGACTCTTGAGGACACTACCCCCTCAAAACTCTTTTCTGGTCCTTCACATGGTGACCCCTCTGTGGCCACAATCCTTGCATTTCCCTTTTCATTGCTCTGTCCTGTGATGTCTGTCTGACCCCCCACCATACTATGTGTTTCTCAGGGGCAGACCAGACCCAACCCCTCTTCAGGGGCTCCAGTGCCCAGGTGAAAATCATGGAACACATTAGCATCTTAGGAGCTGGTCTAGATGAAGAAAAGGAGCCTGAAGCACAAAGACTAAAGGTGAGGAAGGGGTTGAGATAGGGCTTGAGGCCAGATCCCCGGATGCCCATGATTTATCCACCACACGAGGGAGTCCCAAAGCCTCATATGATTTCCTACTTTACCCACTATTGTGAAAAATGGGGAGAGCTAAAAATGAGGAGAGCCCATCTGTACAATGAGCAGTGTCAAATTCAATGGCTTTGAAACCTTTTGACCTGACTCATAGGAAGAAATGCATTTTACATAGCTTTACTAACTGCCATGTACTTTTTCTATTTCATTTGATTATTATTTTTTTTAACACTAGCTGTGACTCAATAACCGATTACATGGCCCAGGGATGCTTTTCAGCCTCAATACCCTGTTATTGGCTGAAAGGAAATTAGTCACATAATGAATGGGACAATTAAAGTTCGGAAGTCCCTAGTCCTGGCTCAATGTGATTGGGCCAAACTGCACACCTCTCAGAGCCTCAGTTTCCCCTATGTACCCTGGCAGGAAAGACAGGCTTCATATAGCCCCTTCATGGCCCTCTGATCCTAGTGAGAACACTGCTCCTGTGATCTGGAAACTATTCCTGAGTGAAGAGGTGCACTGGCTTTGCTACCTGGTGGGTGGGATTACCATCTGAGACATTTATTTGCCCCCTTGTCCTAGGCCAGTGTGGACAGGGTGTGAACAGGGAATATGAACATGTCAGTGCAGGAGCTAACTGCTCAGGAAAGGAAAAGACAGAGGAATCCAGAGGATGAGGTCATTAAAAGTCCATTGGTGGACTTCCAGTCAAAATGGTGATGTAGGTAGGCATGGTTCACCTCTTCACACAACCACATCAAGATTACAACTAGCCCTGGTTGGTGTAGCTCAGTGGATTGAGCATGGGCCTGGGAACCAAAGGATCATGGTTCAATTCCCAGTCAGGGCACATGCCTGGGTTCCAGGCCAGTTCCTAGCAGGGGATGCACAAGACGCAGCCATACATTGATATTTCTCTCCCTCACTCCTTCCCTTCCCCTCTAAAGATAAATAAATAAAATCTTTTAAAAAAATATTACAACTAAAATATAGAACAACCATCACTCAGAACCATCAGAAATGGAGTTAATGGAAGTACAACAACTACAGAATTAAAGAAACCACATCCATCCAGACTGATAGGAGGGGTGCAGACCCAGAATGGGTTGGTCCCACACCCACATGTGGTAGATAAAAATTCAGGAGGGATATCTTGGGAGCAAGGAGTCCCAGCCCCCACACCAGACCGCCCAGCCTAGAGCCCCCCAGCCCAGGGTTCCAGTGCCAGGTAGATAAGTCCCCACAACTTTTGGTTACAAAAACCAGTGGGGATAACCAGTGGGGATTGAGTTGGTGGAAGAAACTTCTGAAGCCCCAAGTAGTTCCTCTTAAAGAACCCATACATGGACTCACCTACTGAAACTCACTTCCTCTGAGCTCCAGCACCAGGGTAGCAGGGAAACGACAGCTCCACCAGTGGTATACAGGGAGAAATTGAAATGTCTGGCATCAATGTGAGCAGAGGCCATTGTCCCTTTTCTAAACCTTCCCCAACAGAGCCAGCAAGCTGGTGCCATATCTGAGACTCCATCAACCTGGCTAACACTGTTTGACCTGCCTTGGAGATCCCCAGAATCTCCACCACTCTCCAACTTATGAAGACACCCAAACTGCTTTTCCATATGGATGGCTGGTCTTGGTCCATGCTTCACAACTTCCTAAATCCTATCAAACAAGCAACAACTGGTTTCAGTGAGCACCAAGCCCAAAACTAGCAGCAGCCAGACTAATTTAACAGCTGGCTTCACCTGGGTCAGCACAAGTAACAGCCTTCTTAGATTGCTTCATAGCTCAGGCAGGATGGCCCATGGCAAAACATGGATGGGGGCTGACCTTGGCCTGCACCACCTAGGAAACTCCAGGGCCAGCACACTCAGTGGACAGCTACAGACCACATAAGAGCATCACCACCCTGCCCCTGCACAGCTGATCCTCCACAGAGGGTGGAGGTTGGTGGTCAGTGGTCACAGCCAATCCTTGCAGCTGATTGGCCTGCGTAAATCCCTCCCATTGACCTGCCAATAGCGACCAAGGCTCAACTACAGGAGGAAGGGCACAGGAGGAAGGAGGAATGTACCCACACAAAGGGCACATTTCGACTATTCAGCTTGGGAGATAGGGGAGGCTGTGTCACTGGCCCTACAGGACACCTACTATATTAAGTTACACTTCCAAGACAGGAATCAAAGCAATTCTACCTAAGACACAGAAACAAACACAGGGAGGCTGCCAAAATTAGGAGACAAAGAATCTCAACCCAAATGAAAGAACAGATCAAAACTCTAGAAAAAGAGCTAAATGAAATGGAGGTAAGCCATCTATCAGAAGCAAAGTTCAAAACACTGTTTATAAGGATGCTCAAAGAACTTATTAAGGACCACAACAGCATAAAAAAGATCCAGTCAGAAACAAAGAATACACTAATTGAAATAAAGAACAATTTACAGGGAAACAACAGTAGAGTGGATGGAGTCAAGAATCAAATAAATGATTTGGAACATAAGGAAGAAAAAAACAACCAATCAGAACAAGAAGAAGAAAGAAGAGTCCAGAAAAAATGAGGATAGTATAAGCAGCCTCAGGGACAACTTCAAGAGGCCCAACATTTGCATCATAGGCATGCCAGAAGGAGAAGAGAAAAAGCCAGAAATTGGAAATCTCACTTGAAAAAGTTAAAGAAAACTTCCCTAATTTGGTGAAGGAAATAGTCATGCAAGTCCAGGAAGCACAGAGAGTCCCAAACAAGATTATGAAAAGAGGCCCACTCCAGGACACATCATAATTAAAATGCCAAAGGTTAAATATAAAGAAAGAATCTTAAAAGCAACAAAAGAAAAGAAGTTCATTACCTAGCGAAGTTAGTTCCCATAAGACTTTCAGCTGATTTCTCAAAAGAAACTTTGCAGGCTAGAAGGGATTGGCAAGAAATATTCATAATGATGAAAAGTAGAGACCTACAGCCAAGATTGCTCTACCCAGCAAAGCTGTCATTTAGAATCAAAGGGCAGATAAAGAGGTTCCCAGACAAGAACAAAACTAAAGGAGTTCATCATCACCAAACCATTTTTTTTATTTTTAAAATATTTATTTATTTATTTTTAGAGAGAGGGGAAGGGAAGGAGAAAGAGTGGAAGAGAAACATCAATGTGTAGTTGCCTCTTATGTGTTCTCTACTGGAGACCTGGCCTGCAACCCAGGCATGTGCCCTGACTGGGAATTGAACCAGCGACCCTTCGCTTCACAGGCCTGTGCTCAATCCACTAAGCTACACCAGCCAGGGCCAAACCATTATTATATGAAATGTTAAAAGGACTTATTTAAGAAAAAGAAGACCAAAACTTTGAACAATAAAATGGCAAAAATTACAAATCTATCAACAATTGAATCTAAAAAACAAACTAAGCAAACAAGAACAGAGACAGAATTATGGATACAGACAGCATTTTGATAGTAACAAGATGAGAAGGGAGTGTGGGGGAATGCATGAAGAGGTGAGGGGATTAAGAAGTACAAATAAATGGGTACAGAATTACCATGGGGATGTAAGTATAGTATAGGAAAGGAGTAGCCAAAGAATTCATATGCACGACCCGTGGACATGAACAACGGTGTGGGGATTGCCTGAGGGAGTGGGGGGTGCTGGGTGGAGGGGTCAAAGGGGAAAAAATCAGGACAACTGTAATAGTGTAATCAATAAAATATAATTTAAAAATAAAAGTTCACTGGCGAAGAGGCGCTGCGAGAGCGAGGCCTTTAAAATGAGGCAAACCCTGATTAAAATCCCATGGGCCTGAGGGCCAGGGGAAAACGACTTTTCTCTGACTCTTAGCACTCGTTTACAAAATGGTTTTGACAACCCCTCCTCCTCTGGGTTGTTGGTAAGGTTAATCATCCCATACTGGCCCTACTGTGTGGTCGCCTGTTGGCGTCCCGCGCTAGCCCGACACTGACCTGAGATTCCCAGTGTCCAGCACAGTTACTCGCACCAGGCGGTGCTCAGGCGAAACGTGGAATCCACGCTCCGATTCCCGCCCTGCCACCCTGGACATGTGTTGTCCCTCTGAGCACCCAGCACCCCCTGTGCACATCCTGGGAACGCAGTAAGGCCGGTCCGGGCAGCGCCCACAGGGACCGCCCCCGCCCCCTACAGCTCTCCGGGGCAGCTCCCCCTCACAGCTCTGAGAGCCGCCCCGCGCCGCGCGCCCGCTCTTGGACGGCTGCTCCCTTCTCCTTCCCGCCGCTCTCCACTCCCACCACTCCTCCATCCTCCTCCTCTCCTCTGCGTCCTCCACCTCCCTCTGGCTGCCCCTGTCCGCGTACCTGTTCGCTTCTCTTGGCCCTCGGGGACTCTAGGTTTCTAACCGCTGCGTCTCCGCGCCTCTCGTCTCGTCTCTCTCTCTGGTCTCTGTGTGTCTCTCTGCTCATCTCTGCCTGTCTCTGTCTTTCCAGAGCTCAGTTCTGTCTCCGCCCGTGTCCTCCCAGCGCCTGCCGGTGGCCGAGGTGGCGGCGGGCCCCGCGCCGGGCGCGATGAGCGGCGCCTGCACGAGCTACGTGAGCGCTGAGCAGGAGGTGGTGCGCGGCTTCAGCTGCCCGCGCCCGGGGGGCGAGGCGGCCGAGGTCTTCTGCTGCGGCTTCCGCGACCACAAGTACTGCTGCGACGACCCGCACAGCTTCTTCCCCTACGAGCACAGCTACATGTGGTGGCTCAGGTACCGGCCCTGGCCCTAATCCCACCTGGAACCCCAATCCAGTTTTAGCCCTCTTGCCCCACCTCAGCCAGGCCGCGTGCTAATCCCCAGTTCTCATCCAAGTGCCCACCCCACCCACTTTTTAACCCCTGGGGCCCAACACTGACATTTGCTCTCACCCCATCACCAACCCAACTCCCTCTGCAAGCTCCTCTCAGCTCCATTCCCGCGTCCTGACCCTGGTTCGAACCACTGTTCTGATCCAGTCTTGAACCCCTCACCCCAACTCCATCCTGAAAAACCTTCACTCCATCCCCACTCCAAGCATCATCCTCCAGCACCCTCAACCCAAGCCCCAAATACACACCAACACTCTGCCTAACAGCAAACTCCCATCTTCCAGTGTTCGCAGGAAACCCAAGCTCCACCCTCATCCAAGTGCCCACCAAGATCCCCTTACCTATATATCAACATCGACCTCACTCCCGACTTAATCACTCCCCAGTACAGATCCCAGCCCCTACTCTATGGCCAGGCCAACCTCCCCCTCAATAATCCTTGCAGTCCCACCTCAGCTCTCCTTCCCCACCCCATTATATAGACCTACATCCATACCGCCGCTTCAAGCTTTAATTCTCACCTGATAACTACACTCCAACTCAACCCCATCCTCAGCCCAGCCTCAGCTCTTTCCCCTGATATTCAGTCACCTCTTACTGAGCACTTAGCTTTTCTAGGCCCTATGGTGAGTGCTGGGGAGGTACTACAGTCCTGAGCTCAGACAGAAGACCCAAAGATCAGGGCTACCTCCAAGTTCATCATGATGAGACTGTGGCATAATGCCACAGCAGAAGCCAGCTCAGGCTGTATTAACGGACTGATTTGGGTAAATATCTACCCATAAGTCCTCAATTTCCTCACTTGTTCAGGGGAGGGGTGGTTGGGCTGTTGCTGACATTCCTGGAACTTCAGTGTGGGGATGAGAGGGCAATTGGTTGCAGTCTCTCTCCATCTCCAAATGCTTCACTCAGAAAGTAGGACTTGACCCCTGAACCTGCTCTGACAAAAAGGAGTCAGCAAAAATGGAGTGGGCCATCTCAGCAGACAGTAATTTTCCTGTCCCTGGAGGTACTTGACCAGAGGCTGCATCCCCTCTGAGTGGGAGAAGACAGCCTGCCACTAAGACTTCTCTGAGCCTTTGTCTTTTTATCTATCATATGGGGAGGGTGATAAGTCATTGCCTTGACTTCCGACTACCGAAAGGACCAAATGAGATAAAAAGGTGAAATCAGCTTGGCGTATGCCTCTGACAATTATAGATAAAATTTCTTTTTCTAAACAGCTCAACCCATAATTCTAAATGATTTTTGGATGGCCAGGTTTTCAGAGCCTGCACATTCAGCTGCTATCTGTAACCCAGAGAAATACATTAATTTATTCTCTGTTCATCCATATTTTTATTCACTTATTATATAGCATTTGCCTTGTGCCAGGTTCTATACTAGGCATTGGGGACACAGAAATAATTATTCCCTGCCCCTCAGGAGCTCACAGTCCACTCAAAGAGAGATGACATGCACCTAAAGTACGACAGTGGAGCTTTTGTTTAAGAGCCACTCTGTACTGAGCACTGAGATGGGTGCTGACATATGATGGCACTTACTTCCCTTTGAGGTATAGAGACAGTGTGGAACTTTGGGACTGATTAGAGCCCCGTCCAAACCTTGTCTCTGTCACTTAATAGCTATGTGAATTCAGGCAAATTATGTCCAAGTCTCTCTTTTCATCTTTAAAGTGGCAATAGTAATACCTGTCTTATGGAATTGTTGCAGGATTTAGTGAAGTGTGCATGTGAAAATGACTAGTACATTTGTAGATGTTCACTTAAAAGGGAGTTCCCCTTCCCTGGTTCATAGGTGGGGAAGGTGAAGCTCCGAGTACGCAAGTGAATTGTCCAAGATCTTCTAGGAACGTCACAGCAGACTGAGATTTAGGGCCACCCAAGAGCCAGATGCATTCATACATTTGCAACCCTGGCACATTTTCTCCCCATTTTACAGATAAGAAAACTTGAAAGCCATTAAAGTTGCTATCAGGGAGTGCCCCAAGCCTAGGCTCGTCCTGCTGCACAATTGTCTAAATCTAAGCCTGGCTCTCTTATAACCTGTGCTATTCAGATCGTTAAAAAAAAAATACTTAATGATCTTGTCTTCTGGACACTGTTCTAGCCCTTGGGAACACAGAGATGAGTAACCCCCTCAGCACCCAGCCATAACCCCAACCCTCTACTACCACCCTCTTCCCTACACACCCCAGCGGTCCCTCCAGTACTGCTGTGGAGTACTTTAGTGGCTCAGACCGTCAGGTAGTGATTGGATAGGGTGAGCTCCGAGGTCGCATCACATGTCAGTGTGGTCCCATCCTATGACCCCAAGGGCAGGCTAGTTCCTCTGTCCCCAGACAGATCATCTGAGACAGGGCCCACTTCCTTACAGACCACTGATCTGAGATATATCCCCACAGCTCTCTCACCCACTCTTCAAAGGACCCTACTTTTAGAGGGTCCTTTCTATCCAGGTGGCCATAGATGTCCCTTATAAGGGATGGGGCCCTAACTTGAGCACAAGTCTCCCAGCTAAGAACCTTATAGACAGTGAGTGTATCTCAAAAAGAGGAAATAACATTTCAAGAACTAACAAGTACTACATGGTTTATGTGGAAAATGTAGAAAGGACAGGAGAAATTAAAAAGGAAAGAAATCATGAGAGACCCAGTGTTTGAGCTTGGGTTCCCCAAAAAACTTGGAGACAAGGATTTGAGGAAAGATAGTTTATATGAAAATCAATCCTAGAAAACACTGGTGGAGCGTGGGGAACCAAGAGCGGTGAAGGGAAGGAACCAACAATGGTGTTACGAAGCAAGTCACCCCCAAGGGTCACCAGAGCTTAAACCTGCTGAACTCTGCCAGCCAGTGTGGAATCTACACCTCAAAGTCATTCCAACTAAGGGCTGGGAAGCTGGGTATGTACATTTCAATTTCTGTTAGTCATTGGTTGTGTGCTGGTGTGAGAAGGCAGGCAGTACTTTTCTTGCCCTCTGCTCACTGTGCAATTTGTGTCTGTTCTGGGCCAGAGAAAGCCCTCAGGCAAAAAGATACAAGTGGTAGCATTTGAAATTCTAGCTAGAATATTTTACAATTATAGTCCTAATGGAACACAGACAGGACATTCACACCCTGCTCTATACCCAGTGACAGCCTGTTAGCATTTTGGGGCATTTCCATTCAAACCTTACATAGTTATACATCTATTTGTGTTTATTTTAGTTGCAATTATGCAACATAGCTTAGTAGTATGTCCTGTTCTTTTCACTTAACATTCCCTCATCTAAATTTAACCTTGATCTTAAATATTATTTGAAAAACATTTTTAAGGGCTCTATACTATTCCATTGTAGAGATGTCCAATAATTTATTTAGCCATGGTAATACAGACTCTCCAAAGCTCTAAGGTGTATCTGTTCAGTGGAAATTAGCCATCAGCTAGCTGGGCATGAAATGTGGCAGAAATGGCAAGGGCAGGAGTCTGGGGCAGGGGTCAGGGAGAGGGGTGGGCAGGAAATTGGAAGAAGTAGTATGCCATATAGTGACTTATAAGATATTTGGTCTTCATCCACAGTTCCTGGCTCATAACAGGAACTGGCTCACAACTTCCCAAACCCTTGGAATTTCTTAAGTATTAAGAATAATAAAGGTGTCTTTTGGGCCCCTATCAAAGGTGGGATCTGGTTGTCAGGAAAACCAACCACATGATTAGAAGTTTGGAACTTCCAGTCCCCCATTCCTTCCTGACTTCAGGGAGAGAGGCTGGATATTGAATTCAATTGTCAATGGCCAATGACTTATTCAATCATGACTATATGATGAAGCCTTCCATGTTGGGCAACTAGAATGCTTTCATGTACCACCAGGCCCCAAGCTCCACAGAAGCTCCTTTGCTCCTTTGTTCATGACCTTGCCCTATGTATCTCTGCATCTGACTGTTGATTCAAATCCTTTAGTATCCTTTATTTTTTTAATATATTTTTTATTGATTAAGCTATTATTGTTGTTCCATTTTTTTTCCTCGCCTTTAATCCCCTCTGCCCTGCACTACTCCGCCCACCAGCATTTCCCCTGCTTAGTTCATGTCCATGGGTTGTACATATAAGTTCTTTGGCTTCTCCATTTCCCATACTATTCTTAATCTCCCCCTGTCTATTTTGTACCTACCAGTTATGCTTCTTATTCCCTGTACCTTTCCTCCATTGTCCTTCCTCTTCCTCCCTGCTGATAATCCTCCATGTGATCTCCATTTCTGTGATTCTGATCCTGTTCTAGTTGTTTGCTTAGTTAGCTTTTCTTTTTGTTGTCTTTAGGTTCAGTCGGTGATAGTTGTGAGTTTGCTATAATTTTACTATTCATAGTTTTTATCATCTTTTTCTTAGATAAGTCTCTTTAACATTTTATATAATAAGGGCTTGGTGATGATGAACTCCTTTAACTTGACCTTATGTGTGAGGCACTTTATCTGCCCTTTTATTCCAAATGATAGCTTAGCTGGATAAAGTAATCTTGGATGTAGGTCCTTACTTTTCATGACTTTGAATACTTCTTCCCAGCTTCTTCTTGCCTGCAAGGTTTCTTTTGAGAAATCAGCTAATAGTCTTATGGGAACTCCTTTGTAGGTAACTGTCTCCTTTTCTCTTGCTGCTTTTAAGATTCTCTCCTTATCTTAAATCTTGGGTAATATAATTATGATGTGCCTTGGTGTGTGCTTCCTTGGATTCAACTTCTTTGGGACTCTCTGAGCTTCCTGGACTTGCATGTCCATTTCCTTTGCCAGATTGGGGAAGTTCTACTTCATTATTTTTTCAAATAAGTTTTCAATTTCTTGCTCTTCCTCTTCTTTTTCTGGCACCCCTATGATTTGGATGTTAGAACATTTAAAGTTGTCCCAGAGGTTCCTAAACCTTTCCTCATTTTTTTAAAGGTTTTTTTTTAAGATTTTATTTATTTATTTATTTATTTTTTAGAGGGGAAAGGAAGGAGAGAGGCAGAGAAATACCAATGTTTGGTTGTCTCTTGTGCATTCCCTGCTGGGAACTGGCCCACAACCCAGGCATGTGCCCTGACTGGGAATTGAACCTCAGTCCTTTGGTTCATAGGCCCAAGCTCAATCCATTGAGCTATGCCAGCCAGGGCCCTCTCATTTTTATGAATTCTTTTTTTTCTTTTGATTTTATTGATTATGCCATTACAGTTCTTCTATTCCCCCCTTCATTCCCCTCCACCCTGCACCCCCCCCACCATTCTCCCCTTTAGTTTATGACCATGTGTCTCAAGTTCTTTAGATTCTATATTTCCCATACTATTCTTGCCCTCCTATCTATTTTCTACCTACCGTCTATGCTACTTATTTTCTGTACCTTCTCCCCCTTCTCCTCCTCCCACTACCCTGTTCCTAACCCTCCATGTGATCTTCATTTCTATGGTTCTGCTCCTGATCTAGCTGTCCTTTTTTTTAGTTTGCTTTTGTTTTAGATGTGGTTGTTAATAACTGTGAGTTTGCTGTCCTTTCACTGTTCATCTTTTTTATCTTCTTTTTCTTAGATAAGTCCCTTTAACATTTCATATAATAAGGGCTTGGTGATAATGAACCCCTTGAATTTGATCTTATCTGAGAAGCACTTTATCTGCCCTTCCATTCTAAATGAAAGTTTTGCTGGATAGAGTAATCTTGGTTGTAGGTCTTTGGATTTCATGACTTGGAATACCTCTTTCCAGCCCCTTCTTGCCTGTAAGGTCTCTTTTGAGAAATCCACTGACAGTCTGATGGGAACTCCTTTGTAGGTGACTGTGCCCTTATCTCTTGCTGCTTCTAGGATTCTCTTCTTTATTTTAATCTTGGCTGATATAATTATGATGTGCCTTGGTATGTTCCTTCTTGGGTCCAACTTCTTTGGGACTCTCTGAGCTTCCTGGATTTCCTGGAAGTCTATTTCCTTTGCCAGATTGGGGAAATTCTCCTTTATTATTTGTTCAAATAAATTTTCCACTGGTGGCTGTTCCTTTTCCCCTTCTGGTACCCCTATAATTCGGATGTTGGAACATTTAAAGATGTCCTGGAGGTTTCTAAGTCTCTCTTCATTTTTTTTGAATTCTTGTTTCTTCATATTTTCCTGTTTGGTCATTTTTTTTCTCCTTCTGGTCCACTCCTTTGATTTGAGTCCCAGTTTCCTTTTCATCACTATTGGTTTCCTGTGCAATTCACTTCATTTCAATTAGTTTAGCCTTCATATGTTCCTCTAATTTGTGACTAAAATCAACCAGTTCTGTGAGCATCCTGATCACCAGTGTTTTGAACTGTGCGTCTGAAAGTTTTGCTATTTCTTCATTGCTTAGAGTTGTGGGCTCTGGGGCTTTGAGATCTTCTTGAGCCATTTTTGGTCTGTTCATGCCCATTAAGTATGAGGAGCAGAGCCTTAGATGTTCACCAGGGTAGGGCCACTCAGGTCGCTGGGTTGTGACGCTGTATGTGGGGGCGGGGTCAGATCGGGGAAATAGCGGCCTCCTCTGCTGCCTCTGGGTCCTGTTTCACTGCCCACTCCCTTGCTGGTCTATCTGCGCACAAATGTGCGACCACAGTCTACCTGCCGCCCTGCACCCTCACTGGGTCCACCGGTCGCTCACTGGGTCGCACTCACTGAGTCGTTCACTGGGTTGGCCCTTTGCAACCCCACGCCTGGGATCCGCACGCCTGAGTCCGTCTGACCGAGTTTTCCTGTGCAACCCTTCTCCGCCAGCTGCTGGCTTCGCCCCTCTTACCGGTCAGGCTGAAGAATTTGTTGTTATCAGACTTCCGAAAAGTTCAATTTTCTATGTCTGGCTGTGTTTTCTGTTGCTAATATTTTGTTGTCTCTAAACTTGGTTATGTGAGAAAGCACAGCATCTCCACCTATGCCTCCATCTTGGCGGAAGTCATTTTTATGAATTCTTGTTTCTTCATTCTGATCCGGTTGAATGTTTATTTCTTCCTTCTGCTCCAAATCATTGATTTGAGTACCAGTTTCCTTCCCATCACTGTTGGTTCCTATTTTTTTTTATTTTACTTTGCATAGTCTCTATTTTGTAACCTCTATTTTTTCCCTCTATTTTGTAACCATACTCAACCATTTCTGTGACCATACTGATTACCAGTGTTTTGAACTCTGCATCTGATAGTTTGGCTTTCTTTTTGTCACTTAGTTCTGTTTTTGGAGCTTTGATATCTTCTTTCATTAGAGCCATATGTGTTTGTCTCAGTGCAGCTATTATGTTGTATGGGGTAGGGCCTTCGGTATTCGCCATGGCAGGGCAACCCATGGCACTGTATTATGACACTGTATGTGGGGGAGGGGTTGGAGAGGGAACAATGCTGCTTGCCTGAGTCTCTGCCAGTTTTCAGTCACTTCCCCCACTACCCACAAGCAAATTGGGCCATCTGGTGCTGATTCCCGCATGGGTGGGTTTGTGTATGTTCTAGGACCCTGTGGGTCTCTCCAATGAACTCTCCTGTGAAGCTGGGAGTTTCTCCTGCTGCCATAATCCCCACAGGTTTTTTCAGTCAGAGGCTTTGAGGCTTTATTTCCCAGTGTTGGAACCCTGGGTTGCACAGATTGTCTCACTCCCCTGTTGTTCCTCTGGGTTTATCTGAAGGCAAATGTGGGAACACCCAGTCTGCCAGCTGTTGCCTTGCCTGCCTGGGTCCACCAGCTGCTGCCTTGCTGGGTGTCCTCTCTGCCCCTCCTACAAGGCTAGATGCATGTTTCTTCTTTAACTCCTTGATTGTCAGACTCCCATACAGTTAGATTTTCTGGCAGTACTGGTTATTTTTTGTTCTTAAATTTGTTGTTCTTCTTTTGGTTGTGCAAGGAGGCAAAGTGTATCTACCTACACCTCCATCTTGGCCAGAAGTCCAATATCCTTTATAATAAATCAGTAATCTAGTGAGTGAATGATTTTCCTTGAGTATGAGCCATGATAGCAACATAATGGAATCCAAGGAGGAGGTTAATGGGATCTCCAATCTACAGCTGGTTGGTCAGCAGCACAGGAAAGAGCCTGGACTTGCAGCTGGTGTCTGAAATGTGTGTATGTGCTGGGGAGGGAGCAGTTTTGTACAGCTGAACCCTTAACCTGTGGAATCTAATTCCATCTTGGGTAGATCATATCAGAATTGAATTGAATTCTCAGACACCCTGCCAGGGTCAGAGAAATACTTGTTGATGTGAAGAAGTCTCCAAACACATTGTTCATATTGGGTCTGGCAACCCTTTTCAGAGTTGTAGGCAACTCTTCTCCTATAACACGCTGCCTCCCAAGTCCCTCTCTGACTCTCTGTTCCTCTGTGGTCTTCTCTCCCCAGTGTTGGTGCTCTTGTGGGCCTGTCCATAGCAGCGGCAGTCCTCCTGGCCTTCATTGTCACTGCCTGTGTGCTTTGTTACCTGTTTCTCAGCTCAAAGCCTCACGCAAAGTTGGACCTAGGTTTAAGTTTACAGACTACAGGTAAGAAGGAGGCCACATGATTTCTTTGTATTCATCAGGCAAGCAGTTTCACAAGGAGGACATATTTAGAGATGATGTTTGGAACATTTGCCTCATGAGCGTTCCTGGAATATTCAGAAGCAGCAGCTTATGATGTGAACATTTCCCATCTAAACTTTTCATGTGCTCTGTGTTTATCAAAATAATTTGATATAGTCAGCATTCTATTGGTTACACAAATATGAATTCATCTTGTGGATCTTCCAAAACAGTGTTTTAATTCCAGCTTTACAAAATGCAACCTGATTTTAATACTACCCCAAACAAAAGACAATAAGAAAAATTTGCTGCTCCCCAAACTCCATTTCCTCAGAAACGAAATACAGGTACTCTTTGATAATCTGATGTGCCTGACTACCCACTTCTTTATCAGCACAAGCCACCTAGAGCCTCCCTACAGGGCCCCCAAGGAGAATGTTGCTTTTTCACAAGTCTTTATAGCACACGTTTTTACCACCTCTGCAAGGTACTGTGAAAGAGCCCAGTAGCTGTTGGCAAAAGATCTTTCAGTGTAGTTTGGTAGACAACGCTTAAAATGGTTGTTATTATCTCCATTTTAGAAATGAGAAAATCGAGGCCAAGAGAGATTAGGTGACTTGCTCAAAGTATTACCGCTAGTAAGTGGTAAGGCTGAAATCTAGCCCGTGTCTTTCTGCCTGAGTCATGTCTTTCTTCAGCCCACCATACTGGGTCTGTGCGGCGTATAATTAAGCACAAAATTGTTTGATACCAAATGTTAAGGAGGGTTTCAGAAAGGAAAGGAGACTTGAATTAGTGTTAAGTTCGTGAAGGAGTTGACTAGGCAAAAGAGAGGGGAGAGGCCTTCTAGGAGAGGATAAATAATGGGTAAGGGTGTGTGGGCAGCCACTGAGGGACACCTGTGCAGCGACAGGGTCATTCACCCTGGGGCACCACAGGGAGCAAGGCCAGGCTGGACAGGGGAGAAACTGAATCTCAGAAGTAAGGATGGCAAACATCAGGGAGGGACAAGGGGCTGGGTGTGTAAAAGCTAAGTTTCAGAGAAAGACAGAGCTTTTCCTTTGTACAAGCTTATTTTTCCAATTTAACAACAAATTTGTACAACAAACAACAGCACATGAACCCTTCTCAGATCCTGATGATTATGAATAATCCCACTGTGAAAAGCAAGAGGGATGGCCTTTGAGGATAGGAGGGTTTGGCCTGCTTCCCTTGGAGTCAGGAAGACCTGGGAGGCAACTGCAGAACACAAAGAAAGCCTGAGCATAGACCCAGCCATGGGGAGACCAGGGATAGCCCAGGCTCCAACTTGTATAGAGAAAAAGCATAAAAGTTAATGAAAGGCATAGAAGAACCTGACTATCCAGTGGGATATGGGAAAGCTCGTTGTCATAGACAACTCAGTTCTTTCTAAGTTAATCTATAATTTAAAATCCCAACAAAAGGTTTCATGGAATTTGTCAAAATTCTAAAATAATCTGGAAGAATAAAGGTGTAAGAGTGAACAAAACAATTTTGGAAGAGAAAGAAGGGATAATAAGACATTTTTTATCCCTACCAGATAAGACTTTTTTTTAAGATAAAAATTTGTCAATTTGATATTGGCACAGAAACTGACAGACAGAATTGGGCAATGCAGTGTCCTCAACTCATTGCAAATTTGCTCTTCAAGGACATTTGGCAATGTGTGGAAACGTTTTTGGTTGTTACAATTGGGTGAGGGGTGCTACGGGTATCTGTGAGTAGAGGCCAGGAATGCTACTGAACAGCCCACAACACAGGACAGGGCTCCATGACAAAGAATTATCCGACCCAAAATGTCAATAGTGCTGATGTTGAGAAACCCTAGAATAGAAAATCCAGAAACAGACTAATTAAAATAGAGAAAAATTGGCAAATTTGCCTGCATAAAATGCAAATAGACATTGAGTACAAATAATACAAAAGACATTATACATAAAGTTAAGAAACAAGTGATAGACTACAAAGATATTATAAACAGAACTACACAATACAGGCAATCATTATTTGCAGAATCAATATTTGTGGATTTTCCTATTTGCTAAAACTTATTTGTAACCTCAAAATCAATACTTGCAGTGTTTTCAAGGTCATTTGTGAAAGTGGACATGAGCAGAGCAGCAAAAAATTCGAGTTGCCCCATCACACACATTCCTGGCTGAGGTTGAACAAGGCCATGTTCTGCCTTCTTGTTTCAGGTCTCATACTGTAAACAAGTGTCCTTTTCATGGTATATTGAGTGCCGTGTTTTTGCATTTTTATGACTTTTGATGGTGGTTTTACTGTTGAAAACAACCCCCAAATATAGTGCTGAAGTGCCGTCTAGTGTTCCTAAGCATGGATAAGACTGTCATGTGCTTTGTGGAGAAAATACATGTATTAGGTAAACTTTGTTCAGGCAGGAGTTATAGTGCTCTTGGCCATCAGTTAAATGTTAATCAACAGCATGTATTAAATAAGGTGTCTTTAAATAGAAATACACAAAACAAAGATATGTATTGATTGGTTGACAAAAAAGTTTTGACCGGGGGTCAAATTCACAGAAACCTAACTCACAGAAACCTAACTTTTATTAACTATATTGGCAAAAGTGAAAAAATGGATCATGTTAATATTGAGAAGTTTGGGTAGGGGGAATGGATACTGTCATATATGGCTAATAGGTGTATAAAATGGTACCACCACTTGGTAGAGTAAGTTGTCAATATCTATTTATATTAAAAATGAATATAGCCCTGGCTGGTGTGGCTCAGTGGATTGAGCACTGGCCTGTGAAGCAGGGGTTGGCTGGTTCAATTCCTAGTCAGGGTACATGCCTTGGTTGTGGGCCAGGTCCCCAGTAGGCGGTGCTTGAGAGCCAACCACACATTGATGTTTGTCTCCCTTTCTTTCTCCCTCCATTCCCCTCTGTCTAAAAATAAATAACTTAAAAAAATGAATATACCCTATAACTCAGTAATTCCACTTTTAATTATCTTAGAAGAAATAGTTACACTAGGAGAGGATTTGTAAAGATGTATAACACAATATTTTGTCATATTGGAAACAGAAAATGTCTACTAGTAGAGGAATAATGAGATATAATACCACAGTTAAAAGGACTGAACTAGCTTTAAATAGATCATCTCATTTGTTCTTCACAATAATTGGGCAGAGTATGGATCTTATTACTGTCCATTTTACAGATAAAGAAACTGAAGCCCAAGTTACCTAGTGAGTGAATGACAGAGCCAATGCTACCTCCACTCTCCTTGCTCTCCTTATTTCTGCGAAATAGAAGTCCCAACTATATTCCAGACACTCTTAAACTGTACATGCATTATCTCATCTAATTTTCCCAACTATCTGAGTGAGGTATTATTATTATCATCCATTTTACAGATGTGAAAACCAGGTCTCAGAGAGGTGAGATGACTTTGTAATATGTGGACCTAGAATTCAAATATGTGTGCTTTCCTGCTTTCCAAGTCCTACTCTTTCTGCCTCACCAGGCCAGGTCCATGGGGTGCCCCTGCTTGTGTCTTGGTCATCTCATCTCTCCCCACCCTTTTTCCTCCCTCACCCTGAGCCTGCCTGTCAAAGGCAATATAGTTCATCCCTCGGCCCTTTGAGTGAAAACCATCCTTGTTTTTACTGCTCAGCCACCAGCTGGATTATTAAAGTGCCAGGGTTCGAGATAGCCTATGTTCTTGCTTTTTGCTTCTCATTTTTAAGACAGAAAATTTATTAACTGGCCTTTTAGTAAATGATAGCTTTTAACTCTGTCTTTTGCACAGTCTCAGCCTTAGTTTCTCTCTTTCTTCTTCATTAAGTGCTGTCCCCTCCTTCCCAAGAGCCTCTTGTCCCTCCTTCTGCATTTAAGATAGTTTGTCACTATCTTACATTCATCAGAGCTTTTTACCCTTTCCACAGACTTCGATTTGTCTGCTGTCTCCCTCTCCAGCAGGACATGTAGAGAGACCATTAGCCCTACTTTACATCAGAGGACACCAAGGGAAGTGAATTGGCCAAGTCTACACAGTAGTGAGCATGTGTTGCTGGGATGTCAGTCCTGATCTCCCAGCCTCTGTGATCACTGCGCTGTACCTCAGGGGCCTGGTCTCTGAGTATGAGGACAAGGACTGTATGGGGAGTGCCTTGGCAAGAGCAGAGTGGAAATGGAACAGAGCTTCTGGAAACAGGCTCCAGATGCTACTCAGGTGTTCTGTACTGGCCCCTCACACCCACCTCCACACTGTCCCCCAAACTTGGGATGCAAAAAAGCCAGAACTTTCTTACTCTGAACTTTGTAACTAGCTTGATCAGAAGAGTCACTGAGTTCCTAACACTGTGCTAGATGCTATTCTAAGGACTTCAAAAATGTTATCCCACTTACCTGCCTAACTCTCTGCCAAGTGGTTATAATCAATCCTATTTCGCAGATGGGGTGAGTGAGGAAAGTATGGAGTTTATGTTCCAGCCTTGGTGCATTTGATAAGAGACCAAGAAAACAACAGGGGTCAAAATGGAAGACAAGACTTCAGTTCTCATCCTTGTCTTAAAGGTGTTGGTGAGGAGCTTATTAGTCAGTCATTTTCACTGACTCAAAGGCTCTTAGAAATCAACTCTGATGCTTTCACTGCAGAGATGAGGAGCTGAGGCCCTGAGGCCCTGAAAGAGGCAGTCATGTGCCCAAGGTCACCCAGCCAATTGGCAAAGCCTTTGCCTTCTAGGCTGGGGATATGTCCGTGCAGCAGCCCCTCTCACCTACCGGTGAGGGTTCGTTTGCACCATAGCCCACTGCTTTTTAATTAACCACATTTGATACCTATGACCCAAACAATCCTCAGTGATGAGTCAATCTTTTTTTTTATTGACAAGTTATTTTATTGTGTATATTTTAGGAGTTTTTGGTGTTTTGGGGTTTTTTAAGACATAAGTTATACGCACACATATGTACATTTTTTTGAAAATGAGAAGATGCAGACAGAAAAAATGAAATAAAGTACAAATTACAGAGAATCATTATTAACCTTTTGGTGCATAATAATTCTCTTTATACATTATAACATATGTAAAGCTACATTATATATAATGTTTTTCAACATGTTGTTTTCGCTTTGCAATATACAATGAGCATTTTCTCATGCAAATGAATGAAACATCCTATTAAATGAATGAGATTGGGTCAAAAGATGAGATATAGGTAACAAGAGTAATCTGTAAATCAAAGGAACTCTGAAGGATTCAGTGTAGTAGCAAATATTTAGCAAGAAAATGCAGACAAAAAACCCAGTGGTGATGATATTAATAATAGACAACAGTTGAATGCAGGGGAGAAAGGCATTGAAAGAGATAAGGAAAATCCCTGGAATGCCTATTGTTAGAATTCGGAGCTTTTATCTTTCTCAGACCTCTTATCTCTTCCAAAGACCGTTCCCTTTCATCTCCCTCTCTTGTCATTTCTTCGTTATTAAAATGCCTAAAATCTATGTCCTCTTTAAATTCCCCAAGGGACTTAAGCAGCCTTTGCCTAAAACATCAGTTTGCTGGTGTTCAAATTATCCATAGCAAGGGTTCTTCCTCTCTCTTTGGCACACTGCACTTGGGCTTACCTTCATTTTCTTTGCAGGTTTTTTGCATGATGTAATTGTTTTCTGCGACAGTTCAGGATAGTTTCCTTCTCTTTTTCTTGCCTTGAGATGTCTGTGAACCTAGACCCTTGGGGCACCTGTAGACAGAACTGAAGGGGGAGGGGAAGGAACCATTCTCTGCTGGGATTTAAGGAATTTAAGTTCTCCTTCTCTTGGTTACAGTCACAGTCACTTGTAGGGCAGTCAGTCTTAACTCACATTCAAGGAGGGAGAGAATCTAAGAACTCCTCTCCTAGCTGGTCATCACGGGATAATCCTAAATGAAAGGTTGAGGGCCCCAGGCAATGGGAGGACTGGCCACAGAGGTCCTTGGAGAATGGTGGGAAGGTACCACCCTTGTCTGGGACATCAGAGAGCCTGACTCTGATCCTGGCTTTGTGGTTCTCACTGTACGGCCTTAGGCAAGTCACTTCTCTCTGGGCTTCAGCTTACTCTGTAAAATGTATACAGAGATACCTACTAAGAAAGTTATAAAAACTAAAAGGGATGCTTACATAGGAGCAAAATTAATCTCTGACACATGGTAGGCTTTTAACAATTAGTAGCTCTCGTTTTTTATTATTATTAAGTACTTAGATTTTACATTAGTCTCCTCAAAGAGTCTGCTGATCTCAGAGATACGAACTGTGTTTTAAATGCCTATGTGTTCCTGGAACCTAGACTAGTTTCTAATCTATACTAAGGGTATGCTTGCTCTGTGGTAAGAGTCCAGCCTTTGGAATCAAGCAGAATGGGAAGCAAATCCTGGATCCAATACTTAATGGCTGTTTCAATATTGACTTTTTCTACCTGGGCCTCATTTATTTTTCTATAACATGGAATAATAATACCCATCTCAGAGTGTTAGGAGAATCAAATAAGATTGTTGTACCAGTGCATTTCAGCCAAACATGAATCTTACTGTAACTGCTGTGCTGCTCAGAGCTCCACAATTTAAGAGGGACTTTGACCAATCAGAGGTGACCAGAGGCAGCTCAGTCTAGGAGCCAAGTCCTGTTAGTATCAGCTGAGGAGCTGGGGACTTTGGGTCTTAAACAAAGAAGGCTCAGGGCTCACAGTCTAGGGCCTCAGATCTCTGCAAGGCTGTCCCAGGGCACAAGGAGGGGACATTTGGTGAGAAGCCAGAGAACAGAACTGGGATAAGTGTAGGGAGCCACAGGGAAGCAGATACTGATTCAGTAAAGACAGACCTTTCTGAGAGACCTGAAATACTCTCGTAAAGAGCACCCTCACTACTGTGGGCTATTTGGTTCATCAGTTTGTAACTCTTAGTTTTAGAGAAAAAAAGCACCTCCAAAACTGCAAGGTAATCAGGGAAAGGCTAAATGTTCCCTGATTTATTAATTAGTAATAATAAATTTATTATTTAGTAATAGGGAATGACAGTTAATCATTAATAATAGGTATTTATTGATAGTTAAGGGGATTCTTGCATTGAATAGAAGGTTGCTAAACCCCTATGCCAAATGGAATGCCTTAAACTGCAAGCTTAAATGACAAAGGATCCTAAGGCATCTACAAAACACACACACACATACACACAAAACAATGTCCTAGAACTAATAAGTGCACTTAGCAAGATCATGGTATGTAAGGCGAGAACCAAACATCAATTACATTTATATACAAGATAAATTAACAACAAACAACTAAAACACAATAATACCATTTATAGTCACTCCCCGAAATACTTAGGTGTAAAACTAATAAAACAGGATCTGTATAATAAAAACCACAAAATGCTGATAAAGGAAATCAAAGAAGACAAATAAATGGAGAGATATACCATGTTCATGAATTGGAAGACTCAACATAGTAAAGAGAAACTTTGCAGCAGTTTATTTGTATATGTAGACAAATTGACTCTAAGATTTACATGGAAAGACAAAGGAACTAGAATAGCTAAAATAATATTGAAAAAGAATAATAAAGTTGGAGGAAATCACGCTACTTAGTAAAATTTTAAGACTTAATATTTAGCAACAATAATCAGCAATAATTAGGACAGTGTGGTATTAGAGGAAGGACAAACACATAGTTCAAGACAGAGTCCAGAAATGAACCCCACATAATAAGTAGGTCCAAAAGATTTTTTTAAATATATTTTATTGATTATGCCATTAGAGTTGTTCTGTTCCCCCTCTTCATTCCCCTCCACCCTGCACACCTCCTCCCCCACTATTCCCCCCCTTTAGTTTATGACCATGTGTCTCAAGTTCTTTAGATTCTATATTTCCCATACTACTCTTGCCCTCCCCCCTATTTTCTACCTACCATCTATGCTACTTATTTTCTGTACCTTCTCCCCCTTCTCCTTCTCCCACTCCCCTGTTGCTAACCCTCCATGTGATCTTCATTTCTATGGTTCTGCCCCTGATCTAGCTATCCTCTTAGTTTGCTTTTGTTTTAGGTGTGGTTGTTAATAACTGTGAGTTTGCTGTCCTTTCACTGTTCATCTTTTTTATCTTCTTTTTCTTAGGTAAGTCCCTTTAACATTTCATATAATAAGGGCTTGGTGATGATGAACTCCTTGAATTTGATCTTATCTGAGAAGCACTTTATCTGCCCTTCCATTCTAAATGAAAACTTTGCTGGGTAGAGCAATCTTGGATGTAGGTCTTTGGTTTTCATGACTTGGAATACTTCTTTCCAGCCCCTTCTTGCCTGTAAGGTCTCTTTTGAGAAATCCACTGACAGTCTGATGGGCACTCCTTTGGAGGTGACTGTCCCCTTATCTCTTGCTGCTTCTAGGATTCTCTTCTTTATTTTAATCTTGGCTGATATAATTATGATGTGCCTTGGTGTGTTCCTTCTTGTGTCCAACTTCTTTGGGACTCTCTGAGCTTCCTGGAAGTCTATTTCCTTTGCCAGATTAGGGAAATTCTCCTTTATTATTTGTTCAAATAAATTTTCCACTGGTGGCTGTTCCTCTTCCCCTTCTGGCACCCCTATAATTCTGATGTTGGACAGTTTAAAGATGTCCTGGAGGTTCCTAAGCCTCTCCTCATTTTTTTGAATTCTTGTTTCTTCATTCTTTTCTATTTGGTCATTTTTTTCCTCCTTCTGGTCCACTCCTTTGATTTGAGTCCCAGTTTCCTTTCCATTACTATTGGTTTCCTGTGCATTGCCACTCATTTCAATTAGTTTAGCCTTCATATGTTCCTCTAATTTGTGACTAAAATCAACCAGTTCTGTGAGCATTCTGATCACCAGTGTTTTGAACTGTGCATCTGAAAGTTTTGCTATTTCTTCATTGCTTAGATTTATCGGCTCTGGGGCTCTAAGTTCTTCTTGAGCCATGTTTTGATCTGTTCGTGCCTGTTAGGTATGAGGAGTGGAACCTTAGTTGTTCACCAGGGCGGGGCCACCCAGGTCGCTGGGTTGGTATGCTGTAGGTGAGGGCAGGATCAGAGAGGGACAATGGTGGTCTCCTCTGCTGCTTCCTGCCACTGGGGCATGCACGGTCTGTCTCACTGCTCCCTCCTTCACTGGTTTATCTGCGCGCAAATGTGTGACTGTGGTCAGCCCTCAGTGAGTCCACCGCCTTGCACCCTCAGTGGGTCTGCCTGCTTCTCCACATCTGGGATTCGCCTACAGCTGCCGGCGTGCCTGGGTCAGGCAACCGGGTCGGTCTGGTGGATCTTTCCTGCCCGACCCCGCTCTGCTGCTGGCTCTGCCCCTCTTACTGGTTTGGCTGAAGGGTTCATTGTTGTCAGACTTCCATGAAGTTCAATTTTCTGTGGTTTTGGCTGCATTTTTGTTGCTAAAAGTTTGTTGTTTTTAAACTTGGTTGTGGGAGGAAGCACAGTGCTTCCACCTACGCCTCCATCTTAGCAAAAGTCCCCAAAAGATTTTTGACAAAGATACAAAAGCATCCCTGGCTGGTGTAGCTCAGTGGATTGAGCATGGGCTTGTGAACCAGAGGATCACAGTTCGATTCCCAGTCAGGGCACATGCCTGGGTTGCAGGCCATTTCCCAGTGGGGGAAACAAGAGAGGCAACCATATGTTGATATTTCTCTCCCTCTCTCCTTCCCTTCCCATCTAAAGATAAATTAATAAAATCTTATAAAAAAAGATACAAAAGCAATTCAACAGAGGAAGAATAGTTTTTTCAATAAATGGTGTTGGAAGAACTAGACTTCCATAGGTAAAAAATAATAATAAACTACCTAAACCTCACACCTTATATAAAAACTAACTCAAAATAAATCATAGATCTATAATCTATAAAACTTTTAAAAGAAAAACAGGAGAAAATGTTCACTACCTAGGGTTTGGCAAAGACTTCTTAGATAAGGTACAAAAGGTATAACTCATTTTTTTGTTTGTTTGTTTATTTTTGTATTTTTGTATTTATTTACTGTTCATGCTATTGCAGTTGTCTCAATTTTTCTCCCTTTTTCTCCTAATTCCCAGGCTCCCCTTCCCACAGTCAATCCCCACACTGATGTTCATGTCCGTTCGTGATGCATATATGTTCTTTGTCTAAATCCTTCACCTTCTTTCAAGCAGTCCCACCCTCCACTCTCCCCTTACAGCTATCTGTTTAGTCTGCTCCTTGTATCTGTGCCTCTGATTGTGTTTTGCTCATTAGTTTATTTTGTTCCTTAGATTGCAGCTATAGTGAGATCATATAGTATTTGTCTTTCATTGCAAAATGAAAAGGGAACCCACTGTATGGGAGAACATATTTGCCAATGATACATTGGACAAGGGTTTAATCTCCAAAATACATTAAAAACTCATGTGATTCAACACCAGGAAGACAAACAATCCAATTAAGAAATGAACAAAGGACCTGAGTAGACACTTCTCCAAGGAGGATGTACAGATGATGCATAGACATATGAAAAGATGCTCAATGTCACTGATCATCAGAGAAATGCAAATTAAAACCACAATGAGATAGTACCTCACACCTGCCAAAATGGCTATCATTAACAAATCAACAAACAAGTGCTAGTGAGGATAAGAAGAAAAGGGAACCCTAGTGCCCTGTTGGTGGGAATGCGGACTGGTGCAGCCACTGTGGGAAATACTATGGAGTTTCCTCACAAAATTAAGAATGGAACTGCCTTTTGATCCCATGATTCCACTGCTGGGACTATATCCAAAGGCTCCTAAAACACCAATTCAAAAGACAATATGCACCCCATGTTCATTGCAGCATTATTTACAATAGCCAAGATTTGGAAACAGCCTAAATGCCCATCAGTAGAGGAGTAGATACAAAAGCTGTGGTACATTTATACAATGGAATACCATGGGGCAGTAAAAAAAGAATGAATTCTTTTGCAACAGCATGGATGGAACTGGAAACTATTATGGTAGGTGAAATAAGCCAGGCAATGAAAGACAACTCACTTTTTTAAAAATTGGTCATTGGTCTTCATCAAAATCCAAAATGTTTATGAAAAGACAAAAATTAAGATAATTAAGATATTAATTAAGATAATGAAAAGACAGTCCCCTTACTGGGGAATAATATTCTGACATAGGGCTTTTAACAAGAATATATAAAAATTCCCAAAACTTAACGTTAACAAAACAACAACCCCATTAGGAAATGAGCAAAAGACTTAAACAGATACTTCACAGATAGCATGTAAGCACATGCATGAAAAAATGTTTCACCTTCATTAGCCATTAAAAAAATGAATATTAAAGCTACAGTGAGATACCACTTCATACCTATCAGAATACTGAAGTAAAAACACTGACAATACCAAATGAGGAATGTAGCAACTGGATTTCTTATACACAAAGTGCGGCAAAAGTAGGTTTACAGTTGTGAGTACATGAAACAGAATTTATTCTTGTATTATTATTTATTATGGTATTATTTTTCATATGAATGACTGCAAACCTACTTTTGCCCTACCCTGTATTGCTGGTGGGAATGTAAAATAGTAGAGCCACTTTGGAAGGTAGTTTGGTGTTTTCATAAAATGAAACACACACTTACTAAATGTATTAATTTCCTAAACACCAAAAAAGTACATATGAAAACTGGTAAAATTGAATAAGACCAATAGTAGCTTAGTATCAATGTTAGTCTCCTGGTTTTGAAATTGTTTTATGGTTATATAGTATGTTATCAATGGGGAAAGTTAGGTGAAGGATAAACTGGAACTCTGTATTATTTTTGTAACTTCTGGTGAGTCTTAAATTGTTTAAAAATAAAAAGTGAAAAGCAAAACAAACAAAAAAGTAAATTATGGACTCTATAGGTGAGAAGTCCAAAAGTAGTGGTGGGCTTCAGGCATGGTTTGAATAGAAGTTCACAGTATTCTCAGGCTTATGACCACATCCTCTCAACTCTGCCCTCTATCTGTGTTGGCTTTCTCCTCAGACTGACTTTGCTCATTGCACAAAGTAGGCTACCAGCAGTTCCTGGGACTATGTGCTTTTTGTTCCCTTCTGCATGCCAGGAGGAGAAAGGGAGCTATCTCTTCCTTCAACCAGGGAGAAAATAATAAAGGCCTGAGCTCTACTCTGATTTGAGCACCTTAGGTCATATGCCCACCCCTGAACCAATCACTGTGCCCAGGGAAATGTTATGCACTGATTGCCTATCCATATGCCAAAGGAATGGGATCTCTTGATTGGCTCAGATCAATCAGGACCCACTCCTGTAGATGGGGTGGGACCCATCCCACCCAAATATAATTACTATTACCAGGTGAAGAAGGGGAAGAATGGATGTTAGGAACACAACTCCAATGTCCAGTAAAACTTCTTTCTTGAAATTTACTCCTCCCTTGGTTTCAGGGATGCCATTTTTCCTAGCTATCATCCATTGATGGGTCTTAAAGCATGAGTTTTCTAGTCAGAGAAAGTATAAAGTATCATTCTAGAAGAAACAGCACAGCCAAGACCCGGAGATGTGAAGGGATGGACCTATTTAGAGAACAATGAAAATGTTGGTGTGGCAAAGTGTAGAGTTCATGAGGGAAGTGTGGTTAGTAATGAAGCTGAATAGGAGAGATGGGACCAGTAGCTAAAAGCCTTGAATGCCATGACAAGTGCCCCAGGCAATGGGAAGACATCAAAGGCTTTTGAGAAAGAATAGTACATGGACTCACTTGACCTTAGACCTTATCTCTCTGGCTATGGCCTAGGGGGATAGACTGGAGGCTGTTCCAGTGCTCAAGGCAGAAGAAGATGAAAGTCTCACCAAGGATGGTGGCCTTAAGGGGATGGAGAGAAATGGATGAACATGGCAGATAGTGATTTGGTGGAATCAGCAGGACCTGGTGAACTGCTTGACTTTGTGAAGGAGTCAGAAACGTGTGAGGGCTGGTCAGGATGACTCACATTTCTGGCTCGAACACCTGATACGTTTTTTAGGCGGGAATGCCTAATTGTGTCAAATGCTGATGAGCCAAGGAGATAAGGATTTATAAGTGATCATGGGATTTAGTGACGAAATATTTTAAACTATGGTGGGAGCGGAAACCAAGAAAATTATATCAGAGTAAGTCAGGAATGGGAAGTGAAGAATACATAATAAAGCCAAATGAGCCTTGTTTGAAATTCAGATATAAGAGGAAAGGATAAAGCAGTAGAGAAAGTCATAAAATTGATTCTTAAAATAATATATGTTTTTAAAATTTCCAGCACATCTCTGTATACTGGTTGTGTAGTACCATCTATAAAATTAGTTTTTTAATACTTCCTACCTCATGGGTTTATGGTGAAGATCAAGTCTTCATATCTCTTTTTTAAAAGATTTTATTTATTTATTTTTAGAGAGAGGAGAAGGAGAGGGGAAGAACCATCAATGTGTGGTTGCCTCTCACGTGGCCCCCACTGGTGACCTGGCCCGCAACCCAGGCACGTGCCCTGACTGGGATTTTAACCAGCAACCCTTTGGTTCATAGCCCCCACTCAATCCACTGATCTACACCAGCCAGGGTCTTCATATCTCTTAACAATTTTTCGTTGTCTGTCTCCCCCCATTAAACTTAAGTTTATTAGAAACATTGATAGCTCCTAGTGCATGGTGTGGTATATCACTAATGAATATTTGTTAAATGAATGATGCATTTAAGACTCTGAGCACAGTCCTGCCCACCCAAGGTAAGCACTCAGAGGAGTTAGCCAGGGTGTGTGAGCCCAGTGGGAGGAATGGGATGTAGTAGGAGACCCCATGCCCTCAGCTTTCTGTTTTCCAGATCCTGAGGAGGTGTCCCCTGACCACCAAGATGGGACTTCAGGCAAGTCAGAGGTGCCAGGAATGAACCCTCCACGGCAAAGTTACCCCTTCCTGAAACCACCACTGCACTGGAATGAGGAGCAGTCTGTGGACCCCAGACACCTCCTCCAGCACTGCTTCATGGCCACAGTGACAACCAGTGACATTCCAGGCATCCCTGAGGAGGCCCCTGTCCCCAGTCTAATTTCACATGGGCCAGCCCCATAGACATACAATAAATGTCTCTACAGCATCCTCTTCTAGAGTCTCTATTCAGTGGAAATGTGGGGGTGAGGATGACCAAAGGTCCTTTAGTGCCTAGTGGGATAAATGAGGGCTTTTCCCAGCAAGCCCACCCAGAGCCTGCTGTGGACCCAGCTATTCTGCTCTGCCTAGCCCACTGTGAGCCAAAGGGACTTCAGACATAGATACCAAGTAAAATGGTCAGTAATAACTCCATGAAATCAAAGAGAAGCCCAGGGAGAGTGGAGGCTCTGAGGAGCTACTCGCCTAACCTGGAGAGTCAGAGAACCCTGACTTGTTCTTGCTGATACAGAGCAGGTGTACTTAGGGTACCATGGAAGATGACTGGTACCCAGAGGCAGGTGCATCTCCGCTCCACTCCTAGGGTGAGCACCTGCCAGGGGACAGAATGAGAGGAAATGTAGAGTCCATAGGGCCCGACCATGTTTAATATCACTCAGTTCCTTAGGGGGGTGAAAGAGTTAATCAACCAGTGAGGAAATGAATGGTTAGCAGGTCACACACAGGCTCCACATTGCGGACTCAGCCACTTCCTGACCCTGAGTAGCCCTGATAAAGTCCTTAGTCTCCCTGAGCCTGAGTTCCTTTGCTGGGTTATAGTGAGTGTTCAAAGATGATGGATGTGAACCCCTTTCATGAACATAAAAATACTACAAATACCTGAAAATCACAAATGGGTGTTCCTCAATATAACAGTAAGAGCAGGTACTCTGGAGCCAAATGATTGGTTCTAATCTTGTCCTTGCTCATACTTGCTAGGTAACATCTGTGCCTTGGTTCTCTCATCCATGTAAGTGAGTATAATAGTTGTTCTTACCTTAAAGCGTTTTGGAGAATGAAGTTGCTTAGTCCATGCAAAGTGCTCAGAACAGAGCTGGCAAATGGAAAACTTTATGTGTTGGTTTTTTCAAAAAATTAAACTGATAGCAAAGAAATCTTAGAGCAGGATGCTGACTGCCACCCCTCTCTCCCAGCTGTTCTCATTTATTTTTATTTTGCAAATCGAATTGGCTTTATTAAGTGATTCATGAAAAGAGCAGCATTCCATGTAGCAAGTACAAAGGAGCCCCCTCTCCCATACCACTGCACCGCTGTTATCGTCTTTGGCAGTGGCTCTAGGCTTTGCCTTGGGAGTGCAAGGCGAGGATCGGAGAGACTCAGTAGCCACTGAAAGCAGCTCTTCACATTTCTGACAGTGACATAACCTGCTGCTGGATTTGACAACACTGAATTGGTCACTCTGAGATATTTCGTGGGCACTGAGCCAGGCAAGGGCATGTGACAGGGTGAGTCACACGCAGAAGTGCCCTAGGCTGAAAGCCCAGAGCCCTCGGTTCTGGTCTTGCTGTATTTGTTGTCTGTGGGCCTGTGAGTGTGTGTGCAGGTCTTATTTTTGGCACTCCAAACCCAGCGCCTTGGTCTACTCCTTGTACGTCCAGTGGCATCCTCTGTGCCAGGACCTGTGCCGGTTATCAGAGACAACAGGGAATCAGCCACAGCTGCTGGCCTCCGGGGTTCACATGGGGGGCAAGGTGGGCACACCATGGGCAGTTGGCCTAATGGCAGCCCTTCGTGCAGCTTGAGGAAGGACTAAGTGATATTTGAGCTGAATCATCAAAGATGAGTCAAAGGTTCCATGTGAGACAAGGTCAGAAGACATTATGGACAGAGTACAACCTGTTCAGAAATGGCGAGAGAGCCCAGCACAGCCCGGGAATGGCACATTGCAGGGAAGTTTAGTCTCTGCTGTTCTGTGTGACCTTTCACAGGACAAATCCTGTTTCTCTCCTTAACATCCCTGTCAGGAAAATCCAATTTTTCTCTGAACAGTTTCTGTGTTGGGCCTTGCAGGAAGTTACAAGGAAGGATCCAATGCTGCCCTTGCTTTTAGGTCTGATGGGGGAAGCCCTAGAGGTTGTCAGTGGCCTGAGGCAATGGTTCCCAACCTTGAGCCTGCATCAGAATCAGCTGGAGGGCTTGTTAAAACTGGGAGAGCTGGGCCCACCCCTCTTTCCCTCTCAGAGTGTCTGATTCAGTAGGTCTGGAGTAAGTCCCCAGAATTTGCATTTTTAAGTAGTTCCAGGTGATGCTGCTGCTGCTGCTGCTCTGTGACCACCCTTAGAGCAAGACCGGCCAGAAAGAACAAAGGGGACTCAGAGCTGGGGGTTAGGAAGAGACCTCACACTGAGCAGGACCCTGAAGACTTGGTAGAATTTCCCCAGCAGAAGCCTGTGTGGATGGGGTGAGGATAGGTGGAAAATACACCGTGTGCGCTGTCTCTGCTCACCTATTCATCCCTGGCCCATGGAGCTCCCCCACATCCATCCCCAGATTCAGCTCCTTCATTTGAATTCAATCAGTCCTCAGAGCTGGCTCTCACTGGGGTTGGCTTGTCTGAGTCTTGGTTTGGAAACAAACTGCCCACCCTGTGCAGCAGGAACCCCTCCCCGCTCCCCACCCCACCCCCACGCCCAGGGCAGCCAAGGAGGAAGGAAGCTGGGTGGGCTGACGCACAGACAGAAATAGTCTGAGCTCACTGCTGCTCCCAAGCACACATCGACCGGCAATTATTTCTTGTAAATTGCTTTCCCGGTTATGTTCAGATCGTGCGTGTGTGCCTGCCTGAGAACGAACACTCAGAGGGGACGGGGTGGAGGCGTAGAGCTCAGGAGTGGGCCCCAGATGGAAGGAGCCAAGTCTCAATCTTCACCAAGAATCGGGGAACTGTTGACTCTAAAAACTTGGAAACATTAGAACTTTCCATTTGCTGTTTTAGCACTCCTGACAATAATACTCTGCCAGGACCTGAGTTAAATGAAGTCCCAGTCCCTGTCCTCAAGGAGCTCATGCCTATGGTATCTACAGGGGATCCCTAACCCAGCTAGGGGATTCAGGAAAGGCTTCTTGGAGTAAGTGGTGCCTGAATTAAGTCTTGAAATATCCACAGACAGGTGAAAGGGGGATTGTAGTACCAGACAGGGAATAGCATTCAAAACAGAGGAAACAGTGAAATAAGTGGTTTCGTTTGGTGGACACCATGATCAAGGTGGGGAATAGGGGGCAAGTCCTGAACCCTTTGCCATATTAAGGGGCTTAAGCTTTACCCTGAAGGGGTTTTTGAGCATGGAAAGGAACTCAGCACTCTCTGTCTGATAGTGTCCTTCCATGCCCTTTATGACACTGAAGTGAAACTTGCCACCCAGGAGCTCTGTCTTGGGGCCTATTGAACACCTGCCCCCTTTCCCCCCAAATCTCAGAAACCGAGAGAACAGTGATGGCCTGTGTGCCCACAAGAAAATCCAGGCTCAAGCCCTGGACATGTCCCCTCTTGTGAGGAGGAGGAGGAGGCTCTTCACTGCCATCCGTGACGTTGGTTCTTCCTGGCCTATGTCCAGTTAGCTTAGGGGCCAGAGCGTGGGGCAACCGAGGCCCAGGCCACAGGCCAGAGCCCAGGAGAGCCATGTGCCTTGTTCTGTCCCACAGACCTGGGGGCTCTCATGTGTGAAGAGGGTGTGAATGGCTCATTTTCCATTCCTCACAGGATCAAGGCCACCCAGAGTGGATTGTCCATTTGAGAAGTTTTGACTGAGAACATACTGTGGGCCCGCCACTGTGACCAGCACTTTAGGATAGAAGATGCACTCCTGTCCTCAGGGACTTACTAGGAATTGAGTAGGTTTGACCCACGGAAACCTTGAGAGCAGTTAGAAAAAGTTTGAAAGCAAATCAAAGGTGTTAGGCAAAGGCCATTAGAGTCCAGAAATTCTAAAACAGGAGAAAAAAAATAGTCCAGAAACCTTCATGGAGGAAGTGGGGGGCTGAATTTGACCTTGATGGACCATGGCAATATTTGAAGGGTCTCACTGAGGTAGAAGAAGTATTCTATGATGTCAACTTTACATTTAAAGAGAGTTCCATTTGTGGCTCCAAGGGTTTTGGACTAGCAGACAGTTCAACGGCACCACTCCCAGCTCTAGTCATTCAACAAACATACACAATATCTTTTGCATGCTAGGCCTTGCCCTGAGCTATAGGAACAAATAAATGAGTCATTCATAAATCCTGCCCTTGGGGAACTCTCAGGCTATTGGGCAAGACTGATAGATTAAATAGACAATTACAATAGTGTGGGAAGTACTATTTTTTTTATTCACCGCTGAAAGACGGCTTAACACTAAGATAGTCTATACTAACCTCAGTGACTTAGTGCAATGTAACATTGCTACCCTTTCATCAAGCAGTAGAATGTATTTTGCTACCCTTTGTTTTCATGCTGACTTTGTAACTTGCTTTGACAAATAGCAAGTGACAGAAGTGACACTGTGCTACCTTTGAGTCTAGGCCTTAAAAGACCTTGCAGCTTCCTATCTCAGGTTCTGAGAATGTGGTGTCACAAGGTAAGGAAGCCTGGCCTGGCCAGCTGGAAGATGAGACCATGCAGAACACACAGTAACCCTCCACTGGGGCCCTCTAGACCAACCAGCTCCCTGGTAAGCCACCAGATGACTGCAACTTTTGAGTGACCCCAGGTGAGATCAACAGAAGAACTACTGGCTACACCCAGTCCAAAGTGCCAATTTATAGACTCATGAGCAAATCCATGGTTACTATTTTAAACCATTTGTTTTGGAGAAGTTTGTTACACAGCAATAGAGCACTGATAGCTACTGTTACAACTGTGAACGTACCTGCCTTCTCCATCTCTCTGTGAGCTCCTCCCTTAGGGGAGAGAAACTGGCTTTTTGTGCTGAACATCTTCTGTTTGCCACCCCAGATCTGCTCTCTTCTCAACTTCACTCCATACCTTAGGAATATTTGTATGGGTTACATCGAGGGCCACCTTGCCCTCTGGATTCTGGTGTGGTTTGGCCACATGGAGTCCCAGCAGGGTACGTATTCCCCTAGCTCCCTCCCTGTAGTTGTGTCATGTGCTAGCGAGATCTCTCAACCAAGGGACACAGCTCATGTCAGGCTGACCTTACCATA